ATTAGCTGCTTGTTATTAACAGCTGCTTGATATTTATTAGCTGCTCGTTATTTAATAGCTGTTTGTTATTAACAGCTGCTTTATATTAACAGCTGCTTCATATTTATTAGCTGCTTGTTATTAACAGCTGCTTGATATTTATTAGCTGCTTGGTATTTAGTAGCGGCTTGATATTAGCAGCTGCTTGGTATTTATTAGCTGCTTGGTATTAACAGCTGCTTGGTATTTAACAGCTGCTTGATATTTAATAGCTGCTTGGTATCAACAGCTGCTTCATATTTATTAGCTGCTTGATATTTATTAGCTGCTTGGTATTTAGTAGCGGCTTGGTATTTAATAGCTGCTTGGTATCAACAGCTGCTTCATATTTATTAGCTGCTTGGTATTCATTAGCTGCTCGTTATTTAATAGCTGTTTGTTATTAACAGCTGCTTTATATTAACAGCTGCTTCTTATTTAATAACTGCTTGTTATTTAATAGCGGCTTGATATCAACAGCTGCTTGGTATTTAATAGCTGCAGGTTTTGGCGCGATGGGCTATGGGCAGCTGGGAACATGCACCGGTCATGGTTGCGAATAGGAGCAGTGCCTGGTACTTGTAGCCAGTGTTTTGGGTGGATGGCTCTGTCTTTTTTCAGAATCGTGCTGCGTTCTGTATTGCGGAGCGTCATCGGCTGATTTCGGCGTAAATCCTAGCCCGGCTGTTTTTTATATTCCAAGATACATTGATTTGATATCTACTAGCTTCCGCGTATGTCCTAGCGTGACTGCTCTCGCTCAATATACCACCGTTCTCTTTCCGAAGTTTTGGTGTATTTTTTTTTATTGCCGGCTGCTATGGACTGCCTATGTCTGACTCCCCCAGCTAATCCCTTTTATTGCAGGGCGTGTTGGACTGCCAGCGGAGACTCGGGCTTGACTCGCTATCTGTCTGCTTCCGCTTCAGGAATTCTCCCTGCTTCTACTTCAATATACGTCTCCGCTTCCATAAACGTCTCTGCTCCCACTGAACCAAAAATCTGCCTGCTTTTGCTTCTTGTGTGAGAGCACTGGTCTCAGCCTGCTCCTTCAGTTGGGCAGCTCCTGGTGAGACAGAACCAACCGACGCACATGCATTGCAACCTAGAGTTTCGGCTCCCGCCCCACAGATGTATCGGAATAGCCCCGATCCTAGGCGACGAAGTATACTTAAACAGGCTGTCTTTTCTGTTGTCAGTCGGGACGGAACATCATTCCCAAGGTAAGTGCCGAACTGGCAATTCTGTCTAGGACAAAGCTTGTTGAGCCTGGCATTGATCCAGGACCTAGGCTTTACTATTCTCCAAATCTCCAAATATTTTCAATTTCCGTCAGAAACTTCCACAATTGACCTCAGTAAAGACTCATTCAGGGACATAGTAGCCTGTGCAGTTCGGGGAAGAACATAATTCAGGTTAAGGCTTTGAAGACACTTCTGGAAAGTTCACAGGGTTCCAGCAACTTTGTGACTTGATGCTTCTTTCGGAGTCATTTTTCCGGACTATATCTCCGGACTATATCTAAACTTTATTTTTTCATTATCATTCGAAGTGGTCCAATAGGCCACACTTCTGCACTCTCTAACACATTCAACGCCGATAGCTGCATGTACTTCTAATTCCATTTCCCCTTACTTCGACTAATATTTGTTGACTAAGCCAAGTTTGAAAATTCCATATCCAGTCCTTTATAGAATAGAATTCAAAATCATGAAACCTGGCCAAAATAAGTAGTACCCCCAAGTGATGAGCGACTGTTCATATCACTCGAGTCAGTCTCAGCTCAACCAGAGTCACCTGCTCATAAAGGAACTTTTGCAAGATCAGGGTCATTAGTATGCACATGTTTAATTTTAGGGAAAATGGACGACGATACTACAGTTTGGGTGAGTAACGTGAATGCACATACGAGACACTTTGAGTTTGATCATGGCTTTGCGTATTCCAAAAGACCGGTCCCATGCCGAGCTAACCACCAGCCAAATTATGAAGATTGGCTTCTGTATAATAAGCAAGCTCATTGGAAATGTTTGAATGCAAGAAACCAATCTCCGGGTCAGCCCCATGAGGGTGACTTGTATTTTTATCAAAGCTTTTCCATTAAGACTCCTCTCTCGCCAATTAAAGAGGCATTGCTGAATTGCAAAATCAAATGGGACTCTTGGGAATAGATGATTTCGTGTACTACAATGAGAACGATATAATCGGATACATGTTGTACTGGAAAATGTCAAGAGTATATCTGGCTAAGTCCAATGTGGCTTAGTACTGAGGGGCCAAGACTTTTGGGGCCTTTTCGCCTACAATTCCTTCTCTATATGCATACACTTCAAATGCTATTCAAGCTCGTGGGTTGTTGGAATATACCACTGTGGTTTTAGTATTCATCTGGTATAGCCGATTTCAGTAGAAATGAGAACGGAACACTGGAAAGTTCTGTCCTTCAAATAGTTCCAGCATTCATAGTCCTCCATATATCAAAGCTCTCCGAGGCAAGGATTATCCACACAAGCGAGAGCATAGGCAGAAAAGACAACACAGGCTGTCTGCCAACATGACAACTCAAACACATACCAGGAGCAAGATGAATCTGAGGTTCAATGTTCATGGACCATATCAGCCCCAAATGCAAAATTGACGAGTCTTTGGACTGTTTTACGAAATGGGTTTCCTGGCTTTTTTCACTGGTGGGTGGTAGATATGAATGTTTTGTTTGGGTGAACTTGAACCTGTTCCCAAAACCTTCTGGCTTATTCGAGCAGAGCATGGTCTCATTGGTCTTGAATCCATTTCCCAGAATCTGATTTTATTTCTTGAAAGCAAATAAACATGGCCCCGAAGTCATTCTGAGATGGTTTTGGATTCCCCTGAATAGGACTCTTCAGAATGGCGCCGAAATGCGAGATGAACTTCGCCTGGTGTGAATCGGTGGTCTGGTCAATTGTTCACCACGCCAACGTAGTATCGGGACAGTTCTTCCCCTCAATGGCCATCGGCAATATCAGCCTCATCCGTCTAGCTTTTACGTTGGCCTATTCTACGAAAAACTCGGGCCCTGAGCCAGCAGAATCAGGTTCTTTACACCGTTACTCCAAGTCCAGATCCAAAGACCAATGGGCATTGCAAATCGGCGCCAGACCTAAACAAGCGTAGTCCCAAAACCAGACAAGTGCACACGCTCCTTTGAGCAGAGCACAGCATAAAAATCACCTACAAGTCAGTCTCGAATGATGTGTCTTATTAATATATAACAAAAGACGAGCAGAACGCTCCCAGTGCAAATACACTTAGACGGTCTCCAAGACTACGTCCTTGAAACCAGAAGAAACCTTCTTGCCCTTTTCTTCAGTGGTGTTCTCGCCGTGCAAGGCCAACAAAGAGCCCAAGTCGAACTTAGGTTGCTTCAACAACTTGAACTTTCTGATGTGGATGTTTTGCAAAGGCAAGATGGACTGGGTGGACTTCTCAATCTCACGGCCAATCACCTCAGGGATCAACTTGGAGGTCAACTGAGCCAAGGTCACGTTGGAAACCTCTCTCTGCATGATCTCGATCATCTTCTTTCTGACGTCTCTCAACTTGGAGGACTTGGCGTAAGAGGTCTTCTTGACCTGGTTGGCCTGTCTCTTGGTGAAGGCAATGGCAAAAACACGCAACACGTAGTCGTCGGCGGTCTTGACAGTCACATTGGCCTCAACCAAAGATTGCCACTTTCTGACCAAGGATCTCAACTTGTCAGTGGTGAAGTCCAAGCCGTGGAAGTTGGTCAACAAGTTCTTACCTTGCACCTCGTCCACTCTCAACTTGACCTTTCTGTACGAGTGGTCCTCGGAACCCTGCAAGTCGGCAAGGCAGAACTCGAAAACACGGCCCTTCAAGCCATCGGAGGCGTTTTTCAAACCGGTGGACTTGTTAATCAAAGTCTTACCAGCGTTTCTGTTCTCGAAAGTGGTGGGGGCCTTGATGTCGTACCATTCCTTCTTGGTGAAAGGGTCGACGACCTTCTTCTTCATTCCCTTCTTGCCCTTAGACAATCTCTTGTTCTTACCAACAGCCATGATGAAATTCGATAAGTATGAAAGAGCTGAGAAAATTTGGAGGGCTTTTTCGGGAAGTAGTTTTTTTTTTTCAATGCGCGGGCCCTTGCTGCGCTGCGCTGGTGCTAGGGCCTGTTCCTGCACGCGCGCCCGGCGAGGGCTGGGGGCACCATCGTTGGCTGAGCGCCCGCGGCCGCCACGCGCGGTCACGTGACCCTTAGGGCTGGTGCCCCGGTGCTCTGGCTCATTCCCCGTGCCTGGCCCGCCAGCTGCCAGACCACTACACGGCCGGGTCTGGTGCCTATGCTGGCGCCTGCCTCTTTGCAACTACCCACCGGAATTTTAAATTTGGTGCGCGGGTTTTGGGCCCATGGTGGATAAGACCGGAGCTAGCGTGGAATTCTGGGTGCCGCACGCAAAGCCTGTGGCCTGTGACTGTCTTCTGGGCGCGCTGCTCACCCAAAATCCGAGGTGGGAGGGGGACTGGTTTGGCTTGCTTGAGCCGGCTCCATATGCACGGTGACATCACACGGGTTCGATCTTGGTGTATGACCTTACGTCGGTGGCCCGGGCCAGTCCTGTCTTTTATTAGGAGTCGTAGTAATCAAGGCAGCTAAGTGCGAGGTGGCTTTATGTGAGGTGGCTTGATATAACGAGTTAGCTTGATATGTCTAGTTAGCTTGACATAGCGAGTTGGCTGAGTATGCCGAGTTGGCTTAATGTAGCGAGCTGGCTCATATTTAGTTGGCTTATATTTAGTTGGCTTATATTTAGTTGGCTTATAATTAGTCGGTTTATATCTAGTTGGCTTGTATCGAGTTGGTCTATATCGAGTTGGCTTATATCGAGTTGGCTCATATAAGTTGGCCTAGTTGGCTCAATATAGCTAATTGGCTTATATAGAAATGTCTTCATATATCTAGTTGGCCCCAATATCGAGTTTATCGGGAATATCTTGATATCGTGCTGCCTTTATCATCAAGGTGTTTTCCTATATCGAATGGCTTCAGTGTTGTGTTGTCTACTGTACTCGGGCTTCTTTATTGAGCTGGCTCCATTATCAAGTTGGCCTGAAAAATTTATGAATGGAGTGTCTAGATGTATGATATCACGAGGTGTATTGATATATGGTGTATTGACATATGGTGTATTGATATATCGTGTCTTCATAGATCGAGTGGACTCCATATGTCGGGCTGGCTCTATTTTCGAGGCGTCTAAAATTATTGAGTCTGTTGTTTATTGTTGTGGCCTAAATCTCGAGTGCTTCATAGATGCCTTTCATCCACAGGGAAGAAGGTGAGTTGTTTTGTTGAAGGCTCAGATCTACAGCTCGCTTCTTCTGTGATCTTCCTGTTGTCCTCCTTTCGTTTCTCGTCTTTTGTCCCCTCAGTTGAAATCTCTCTATCCATAGAAGGGTCACTGATTGGCTTAATTACCAAAAGTCATTACATTCACTGACTCTTGTCGCAGATTCCCCCCGATTAACTCATAGTATAAGCATGTGACCCATAGCAAGTGACAATCACGTGCAGATACGTACCTCGGCTGTGACCACTATACTGACGGGTGTATTCTGCAATGCTAATGATATTTCCGTGTCAAAGAGGTTTACTCGATAAAGCGTGTAAATTTTCGGTGCCACGTCCCCTCACCTTCAAAGTGTGTTCTTCTAACCCGGGAAATACCTGTACAGGTTCAAGTGAAGTTTGCTAATTAGCTCGAATCGGTGATATGGGTGCTCAGGATCAAATTGATCGTCAGAGACTGGTCTGGTTCCCTTCTCCGCCACAGTTCGAATAGCCCATTGGCTTGTATATTCTTAGACGAAACGCTAGGCATATCGGTGTATGTTTATTATTATTTGTAGAATCCGGAAGCTTTCTTCGAATTTCCCAACTTCGATCCAAAAACAAATTCACCCCGCCTGTACGCACCTACTTTGTTTCATTGATGCTCTTGTATTTGCCATTCATCATCCAAAACTAGTCAAGAAAAAGTGGCCACTCATTCATTGAAGCACTCTGGTATCCAATGTTCTGTTTCACCGTATCTATATTGATGATAAATGCATTCTTCTTTTCAATTCATTCCACATATACGAAGCATCGTGCCTTTTCACGTACTAAAAAAATGGTCTGGGTGCTTTGAGACTGAAAAAATTAGTAAACTGGATAGTATTCTGTCTGCTGTATTCAGTGCCTTCTACGGTCCACAGCTTCTTTGTTTATACACTATATCAGAACTCTTTGGAAGAAACAAACCGGCCCATCTTTTGGAAATATGCTGGTCTTTTAGTAAGACAACCTTGGCACTGCTTTTGACCGAAATTCGCAAGTTTCTTGGTATTTTCCGCACTTCCAAGGCATTCCTAAAGCTACCTATCAATTTATCTTCTTTGTCCTGTCCATCGACCAGAGAAAAATCCTGTCTCAGTCCTGTGACTCCGACACCTACCACAGGGCTTGTAATGTATTCGCATGACCTAAATATACCCTAAAGGCTGTTCTAGGCGTTAGAGCTTTCAGGCCCATCAAAATTGGAAGAGACGCGTGTATAGAGAAATGCTTGTAAAAAGATAGATGGTCATATCCAGAGACATGCTCGCATCGATGTCAGTTGAAGGTGATTCTCAAATTCTAGTGATATTCCAGTTCACAAATGTCCTGAAGCTGAGACATATCCTCAAACCAAAACGTATTTTCAGTTTAGAGGGACAATTAATTTAGAAGACTCGCAAATAAGAAGACTCCCAAATTAAAAAACACCCAAATAAAAACTACCCGAGTTGAAAAACACAATTTAGAAAGCACCCCAATTAGGGCTACGATTTTGAAAGCATTCAAATATAAAACACCCAAACTAGGAGAGATGCACGGAAATACGAAAGCTGCCAGTATTAAAAGAGATCCCCCGATTCCTGGCCCTTCCCCAGCCCCGATGTTCGCAGGCAGCACCCCGCAAACCGCGCGGGTCACGTGACGCGGATGCAAACACCGGACCAACATAAGCAAGTCGCGGCCAGGCTTCCTAATAACGCCCAATATCCTCAGACTCCCTTACAGCCCCGGCATGCAGCACGAGCAGCCAAGCAACCAGTACGTATATCCAGCAGCCAAAGCATAAAAAAGCAACGGGTGCCTTCCCCTCGCCGGGTCCGCGCCCGGTGCGGCCGCGGGCCGTCTCTTGATTTCTGGGCCCGGTCCATAAGTCCCATATGCTAACAGATCCCAGAGTCGCTCTTAAAGTCGGCCTCATTGGCGACTCCCAAATAGGAAAGACGTCGCTCATGGTGAAATACGTCGAGGGCCTGTTTGACGAGGACTACATCCAGACGCTAGGGGTCAATTTCATGGACAAGAAAATCCTGATCCGCAGCACCAACATCACGTTTCTGATCTGGGATTTGGGTGGGCAGAAGGAGTTCATCAACATGCTCCCACTTGTGTCCAACGACGCCGTGGCGATTTTGTTCATGTTTGATCTCACGCGCAAACTGACGCTCAACTCCATCAAGGAGTGGTATCGGCAGGTGCGAGGGTTCAACAAAACGGCCATTCCGTTTTTGATCGGCACCAAATACGATGAGTTCATAGACTTGCTGCCGCAGGACCAGCTTGAAATCACGCACCAGGCCAAGAAATTCGGCAAGGCCATGAAGCTGCCGGTGGTGTTCTGTTCGACCAGCCATTCCATCAACGTGCAGAAGATCTTCAAGATCATTTTGTCCAAGGCCTTTGACTTGAAGTTGAATCTCGAGGAGATTGTCAATGTTGGCGAGCCCATTCTCATATACAAGTAGACCGTGTTTCAGGACTTCTCGTTGCTGGTTTATGGGGGCTATAGTTGGACCTTTGCAGAGAAAGCGGTAGCTCGCTGTGATTCCTATTTTTTCTACGCGTTGTGAGGCCTCGACTGAAGTACTGTTAGGCCCTTGGATGACCAACCGGGTTCTTTGTGCTGCGAAATACGAGCACCTAACGCAAAACACGAGAACTTCAACGGTGTCTGGTCATAGGCAGCACCAGCAATCAGCGAGATTGTTTTCAAGGCTCCACTTTCACGGAAGGAGTGTGTCATGCCGCTAGCCATTCTTTTACCAATCTCGCCCACCGGTCTTGCGTGCCAATGCCACAAACTGGAACTACTCGGTATGTCCCGAAATATTGTTGTTAGAAACAGGATGGATTCCCGGTCAGCACTTCTATTAGCCAGGGGTCTTTGGAAACTGGAACAAGGAGATAATGTGGCCAACAAGCCGATTCATATAGATAGTCACGATGCCATGGTGCTTGGGATTCTTGCTGAGTAAGTTTTGCAACGATGTCACATGAAATGGAAAACACCACAAGGTAAAATCCACACCACTTCTTTTTTGTGGCCCTCTGGTGGGCCCCGTTCAAAGCCAAAGTATTGCAAATACTCCCGCATTCAAAAAAATATTTTTTCATTTGCTGCTGGTTTCCTCGTCGATATCCATATTTCCACTCCATCAGTCCCAGTAGATAGTGCGAAGACTACCCCAGATATTAAACACTACGATTATTCAGGGCTCCCACCACTTTCTCGAGTTCATGAACGGGGTCACAATGTCTTTATCTTCTTAAAATTCGGTGAGTCTGCTGAATTCAGAAAAGAAAAGAAAACAAACAAAAAGAAAAATGCATTCATACGGCCTGTCGACCCAGAGGCTGGTCACGCAGAGCGGCTTCGGCGAGTGTAGTTTTAAATTCCCCTCTTGATGTATGGCGGGCAAAGGGCTCCCGAGTTCCTTCAAAGAAAAGAACAGGAAAATAGTTTCAAAGGTGGAACAATGTATGCAGATATGTCAGCTTGGGTACGATTGCAACAAGAACGGAAAGTTGCGTTAGAATTGAGCAACCGGCCGTGAGAGGCGCTCATTGAAAGGCGACAATATTGAATAAAATCTGCAGAAATCGAATCTATTGGGCAGAGATATCAATATATATCGAAGTGGTAGTTGTCGAACCTACAGGCTCGTTTTGCAGTGGTCCATCAGTAATATTATGGATGTCGTTGTTTTCATTCCGAGAAATCAAGCACTTGCGCTGCTAGCATGGTCAAGATCAACAAGCCGCTAATATTAGTCACTCACACCAAACTTAGCAGAGCAGTCAGGTATGTCGTGTCTGTTTTGCAAATATTAGGCAGACAGGCCAGGCATCCGAAAGAGGTTATTTTGATTCTTTAGATGTAGAGGGATGCGAGAATAGACCCGAAAGAGGCTAAAAGGAGGCAAAAAGGATATGAAAACATCAGAGAACATCAGAAAGGGGCTAGAAAGATATCAGAAAAATACCGGCAAGATACCAGAAAGATATCAGAAAGACACCAGAAACATACCAGAGAGATACCAGAAAAATACCAGAAAGATAACCAGAAAGATACCAGAAAGATACCAGAAAGACACCAGAAAGACACCAGAAAGACACCAGAAAGACACCAGAAAGATACCAGAAAGATACCAGAAAGATACCAGAAAGACACCCCAAGACACCATAAAAGCACCATACAAACAAAAAAGGATAGAAAAACCAATTCTGGATTTGAGAACGCCAACTCTCAGGACCATTGACCGTTCTTTGTGTTCGCAGCCATACGATCTAATAACCCAGCCGGAGTGCGAAATTCAGCGCAACGCGCCCAGCGCACGTCAAGAGGTCTCTTTCTTTCCAATGGCCTGCCCTGTATCTACACAAGGATTTCTAACGTAGAAACAAGGAAGTCACTAATCAGAAGCATTAAAAGGATCAGTTAACCATTGGAGAGGAACCGGAAAAAGGAATCCAACAGGAATAAAAGAGGACTCAGAAGAGGGAGAAGTCATTGTGAACCGCTCACAGAAATCATCAAAAACACGACTGATTGAAACAGACTTGGTCTCAAGGATTCATAATTCAGAGTTCATTAAAGAGGATTTATAGAGAACTCATAGAGAATTCAGGTTTCTTTTAGAACTCTTGGAGGATTCATAGAACTCATAGAGAACTCATAGAGGACTCATAGAGGACTCATAGAGGACTCATAGAGGACTCATAAAGAACTCATAGAGAACTCATAGAGAACTCATAGAGAACTCATAGAGAACTCATAGAGGATTTGTCAAGCAGACCGCGCATAAAGGACGAGGCTGCACTATCCGGAACACGCCCGGCGCAGAGTTACAAACACAAACAGAGACCTAAAAAGCAACAACATGGCGAAGCGGCTCAAGGACATGGGCGACTGGAGGCTCGTCTCGGACGAGCCCGCCGAGCGCGTGTCCAATCCCGGCACGCCGACCCGGCGGACCCGCCGAGGCACAGCAGAAACGCCGGGTGCCACGTTGCGGTTGGTGCGGGAGAGCGACGGGACCAGTCTTTCGAGGGGCGACTGTATACTTGTGAGCGGCGAGCCGAAAAAGGTGCCGATTGACGGGGACTCGTACTATGCGGTGGTGGTGGATGTGAGCAGCAGCATCAACACGTATGTGGAGGTGGTGGTGGCGCCGCTCGTCCGGCCGTTGGAGGGCGGGGAAGAAGACGAGAGTGGAGAGGAGGGAGATGGGGAGGGTGTAATTGGAAAGGGGGGAATCGAAAAGGAAGGAAATGAGAAGGGGGAAGATGAAATGGGGGAAGATGAGAATGGGGAAGATGAGAATGGGGAAGATAAAGAGGACGGAGATGAGAAGGTGAAAAGGACACAGGAATCCACAACACTCGTGGAACAAGGCGCCCGCCATACCGAGGCCCAGAACACCGGGGATCGTGGGGGAAACGGCACGGCAAACGCGACCGCCGCTGGCAAAGAATACATTGCGGGGAAGGATAAAATCAGTGGCCCGCAACACATTGCTCGAAGCGGGCCGGCCGCTGGAAGCGGGGCCACGGGGAACCCCGGAACTGGTGTCGGCATTGATACTCCCAACATCGACACCCCCGGCATCGACACCCCCGGTATCGACACCCCCGGCGATAACACCCCCGGCGCCGCCACACTAGTCAGCGCGCTCCCCCAGCTTGCCGCCAGCGAGTTACTCGTCGCGGCCGAGGTCGGCGCCGTCCGGCTCCATGACATCGTCGAGAAGGTCCAGGTGCTCTCCGCCGCGCAGTTTGGCGACATGGCGCCCGAGGCCGCGGAGCAGAACTCCGTGTTCATGTGCCGCCGCGCCACGGACCGCCACGTGGAGCGCGTGTCGGCTGCGTTCGACTTCGGCGCGTGGCGCGGCTTGCTCGCCCGCAGCCCGGCGGACGCGGTGCAGTTTCTTGCGGAAAAGACGCTGGTGATCGTGTCGCCCAGCAAGAAGCGCGTGCCTGCCAAGGCGCCCGGCAGCGCCGCCAAGCCGCGAGCCCGCCCCGTGCGGCGCCTGTACGTCGTTTCCAGCAGCGATTCCGACAGCCTCTCGAGCGGCTCGGCCAGCAGCGGCTCGGAGGACTCCGGCGCCGAGCTGGACGGCTCCGCAAGCCCGGCGGCGCGGCGCAAACGGCAGCGGGCCCAGCGCACGCCCCGGCAGCGGCACACGGACGCGGTGCAGCGCGTGGCCAGCGTGCTCCTGCCGCACCGGCGCGGGTTCAAGGTCAAGGCCGGCACGGCGCCGTCCAGCTTGCCGAGCTTGCCGAGCCTGGGCGGGCAGCCAGGCCCGGGGGCCCAGCACGACGGGGCCGACGGGGCGGGCCGCGCGTTCCGCGAGCTCCGCGAGAAGCTCCACACGCTGACGCGCTTGGCGCTGCTCCCGTGCCGCGAGGACCAGTTCGCGTACGTGTACACGGCGTTGGAGGCCGCGGTGCAGGCCGAGCAGGGCATGTGTCTCTACCTCAGCGGGCAGCCCGGCGTGGGCAAGACCGCCACGGTGCGCGAGACCATCGGCGCGTTGCACGACAGCGCGCGGCAGGGCTACGTGCGGGAGTTCGACTACTGCGAGCTCAACTGCCTCGCGTTGCTCTCGCCCGGCGCGGCGTACGAGCGCTTGTACGAGCAGGTCAGCGGCATCAAGGTCACGCCCGCCAACGCGCGGCTCCTCCTCCAGGAGCACTTTGCGCAGGCGTCGGCGGACTCGACGCGGCGCCCGCTCGTGGTGTTGGTGGACGAGTTGGACCAGCTTGTGGCGCGCGGCCAGGACGTGCTCTACAACCTCTTCAACTGGCCCACGTTCGCGCACTCACGGCTCGTGGTGGTGGCCGTGGCCAACACCATGGACCTTCCGGAGCGGGCGCTCTCCAACAAGACCGCGTCGCGGCTCGGGCTCCACCGCTACGCGTTCAAGGGCTACTCCGAGGCCGAGCTCGGCGTGATCATCGCGCACCGCCTTGCGCTCTTGAGCGAGGCCAACAAGCGCACCGTGGCCATCTCGCCGGACGCCATGCGCTTCGCGTGCAAGAAGGTGGCCTTGGTCAGCGGCGACGCGCGGCGTGCATTGGCCATCTGCCGCCGTGCCGTGGAGATCGCCGAGCTCGACTACTTGGCCGCCACGGACACGGCGCACGTGCCGGCGGCCCAGCAGGCGTACAGCGTGCGCATCTCGCACATTGGCCGCGCCATTGCCGAGACCGTCAACTCGCCCGTGGCGCAGGTCTTGGCCAGCTTGCCGTTTGCGGCCAAGGTGTTTTTGGCCACGGTGCTACTGTGCATGCGGCGCTCGGGCCGTGGCGACGTGCCGTTGGGCGACGTCATGGACGACATGCGCCACGCGCTCGCGTTGTTGACCACCTCGGGCTCTACGCACGCGCTCCGGGCCTTGGCCGAAGACGCGTCCTACGTGTCGTTGTTCTACGGCGACGGGCACGGCGGCGCGCCGCACGTGCGCCTCCGCCACGTGGCGCACATCGTCAGCGACTTGGCTGACCAGGGCATCATCGAGCAGCAGAACGTGGCCAGCGAGCGGCTCCGCGCCATCAGCCTCAAGGTTTCGGAGAGCGAGATCGTGCCGGTGATCTCGCGCGACTTGGACATCGCGGCCATGCTCTAGCCGCGGTGCACGGGTGTGCTGCCTCGAATTTTGCGACCGGGTCATCTCCAGGCTCAGTGGTGGAGCCCAGGGTTTGCAGCGGCCGTTGACAAACCATCATTTGCGGGAAAAAGACAGACGGACTCTACTAGGGCCGAGCAGCAGCGTCACTAAAAAAGGCCACCAGGATCCATCGAAACCGAAACACCAAAACACCCCGAAACACCAAAACACCCCGAAACACCGAAACACCAAAACACCCCGAAACACCGCAACACCACGGAGCACCAAACCAGCAACACACACGCCCACATGTCTGCCATAGACCCCACCGACTTCGTGCAAGTCGAAGGCGACCACGCGTCGCTCAAATTCGGCGACCCAAGACAGCAGGCCAAGTTCGAGCTCGGCGTGTGCATGGCCATCTACCGCTGGGAAGAGTTGGCCACGGCCGTGGAAAACTCGTGGGGAGGCCCCAACTCCGCCGACAAGCGAGACTGGGTGTCCGGCGTGGTCATCGACTTGTTCAACGAGAGAGCCGTGGACTTGGTCTTGATCGAGGAGACGCTCTTGTACGCCATGGTGGACGAGTTTGACACCGAGGTGGACAACGACTCGGCGCTCATCATCAGCGACCTCGTGCTCAAGATCTACAGAGAATGCGCCATGCAGAACTACGCCCGCGTCGACGACTTGTATGCGAGGTTCCAGCTCAAACAGCAGTCCGGCGCCCACACCAACAGCGTGGTTGTTGCCGAGGACCCCAACAACCCCGACGGCTCGAGCGATGACGACGACGACAACATCAATGAGGACGACGGGCCGCGCGCCGCACCGGTGCCCGTAGAAGACGATGGCATGGACATAGACCACGGCCCAAGACAGCCCATTATCGACGACGATGGGTTTGAGCTCGTGCAGAGAAGAGGCCGCAGACGGTAGAGAGGGTTGATATATTATAGAGAATCGCATTACGACAGAACGCACTCAGTAGCTCATGGAGTTGCGGGGCGTGTGGGACCGCGCCCTGTTCAAGGTGTTCAACGAGTGCAACGAGCTCACCGAGTCTCGCTTGGTGAGCCGGGCGGCCTCCTGAATCTCCTCCACGCCGGAATATACAGACCCGGCCGACGACACGCTGGCCCGGTGGCCGCCTCGGAAATCGCTGAACCTTTTCACCAACGAGCTCGTGATTTCATTGACGCTCGTGGCCAGGCCGACAGACCCAAACTTCATGCCGAACGCCTGGATCACTTTCTCGTCGTCCGCCTTGCTTTTGAAGAGCCGCACGGCTGTGTCGGCCCACACGTTCACCGCGCAGTAGTTGGCCTCCACATAGTCCGTGACTGCCGCGTCTTGCCGGTCGGGCAAAGGCTTGGAATTGCTCATGCCGGACCAGCTGGAGGCGAACTTGCCGAACATGGCAAGCGACGACGAGATGTTGCTCGCAAGCGACCTGCTGGCGCCCATGTAGCTCTTGATGGTCTCGACGCCACAGAACACGTCACGTGCGTGCATGGCCACGTACCAGCCTAGCGATAGATAGTTGCGTGTGGCCGTGAGTCGTGCCACGGGCGTGTCCGGTAGGAAGTCGTAGTGGAGCTCCGGCCGGTGCTTTTCGACGGCCCGCGCCATGTCCAAGTACTCGATTTTCTTGACCACCCGGAACGAGTCCTGCACCGTTTCCCTTCTCCTCCCCCAGTTCTCGCCTAGCTGCTCCTTTAGGCTCGGGATCAAGAAGATGAGGATTGTGCGGAGCGCCTCGTTGCCGCCCCACGATAGATTGATTGGCGCGTCCCGCGGAAGTTTCTCCCGGGCCTTGGCCGACATGCCCGCGGGCGGAGTTGGCCGCAAGCTCTCCGCGATCTCGAGGGCCTCCATCTTGTCGATGCTGGATTCTGCGCTGGCGCCTCGGCGGCCCGGGGCCGCGGGCGGGGCCATGGGATCTTTGGACTCCGCGCCCCAAATCTCGCCGGAAGACTCGGAGTTTATGGACGCCTGTTCGGACGAATCGATGTTCTGGCCAGGAGGTCCACTGACGCGGCCCTGCTGGAGCGGTGCCTCCAGCACCGGCGGCTTGCCGGAGCATTCATCGCCCGAGCAGTCGTCTTCTTGCACATTGACCAACCTGGCCGTTTTGCCGCAGAAATACTGGTTCTCGAGACTGTGGACCGCACTCCAGATGTTGTCGTACATCGCTTCCTCCTCCAAGAAGGAGAACATCAACATGCGAGACGCCGCGGGCGACTTGGTGGCTGCAGCACACAACGCCCGAAGAAGCAACGCGAGCAAGCCGGCGTTCTGGGGCGCCTGGGTCAAGAAGTGCCGCGTGGAGAAAAGCACGAGCACCTGGTTGACGGCCCGGCACGCCTGGTAGGAAATGCCGCCCCTGGGGTTGAGATTCGCTAGGCCCTTGGACGTGCTGTCCGTGCCCGAGATGGCCGGGTTGGTATGAGGAATGACATTGTATAGACACTCCACAAGGGTGGGCAAGATGAAGCTCTGCATGTCCGAGGCAGCAGGCGACTTTGTGCCGGAGTTAGCAGTCATGGCAATAAGAACCTGGCACGTGTGGATGACAAGAAAATCTCGGGCGGTGATCGGGCCAGCGAGCCGGAACTCGGGCGGGAGCAGGTCCGCCATGGACTCCAGCACGGGCATGAGGAGCGACTTGACGAAGGACCGCTGCGAGCTCAAATAGAGAAGAAAGTACGCTGCGATTTTGACGGAGTGCGCATGCAGCGGGACGTCGTAGAACGCAAACACGTGGTACAAGATGCACGGCGCGAGTTTGGAGGCGAACCGGCCGGCCACCAACCCGCCGAACTGGCCATTGCAGTGCATAAGCTCCCATAGGATCACCATCACACTGGGGGACATCGGTAGCGGCAAGCTGCGGTAGGTCTTCAGTCTGCCGGAGGCCTCGACCGGGAGCATGGGGCTGCGGATGACCGCAAGCAAGCTGGACGCAAGAAACACGAGGTCGGATTCCTTGGAGAGCCGGGAAAAGAACGCACGTACTCTGTTGATGGGCGATGCCGTGTCGAGAAGCCTGTGCCGGGCAAGAAAGCTCGTATATTGCGCGCCGGGCACCGCGTACGCGAGCATCTGCGCTAGAAGCTGCAGAGCCAACGTCAGACACGCGAGGCGCAGCTGCACAAAAGCGGCGTGTTCCTGCTCGAGGCCCGAGTCGCCCTTATGCACCCGGCCGGACCGGCAGACGAGGTTGGTGAGGCTGCACACAAGGTTGAAGAAGGCCTGTTTTGGCACGGCGCACACGAGGAGCGTCATGAACACCAGCCCCCGGGGTACGACATTGGGCACGCGCTCGTAGAAAGTGGTCGATGCAAGCACAAGGAGGAGCCGCAAGATGTCGCTGCGGTGCGAGTCGTAAATGGCGTCGGGAGGCCGGTAGTTAGCCGCCACGCCGAGCCCGGGCTCCCAGAGACAGAGTGCCGAGCCGGGCGCGTGGGCTTGCGCAGGGTCCACAGTGAAGCTGGCTGCAAAAAGCAAGTCCACCAAGGCGAACACAAGCCTCGCTGCAAGAATGCGCGTGTCACCCGCGTCCGCGGCAAATTGCGCTTTCACGGGTATGCCCGGGCCGGCGCCCGCGGGCAGGAGCTCGAGAGGGTTGAACGCCAGCGCCAAGAAGACACGCGGCTCAATTTCCAGGTGGTACACCGGGAGCTCAAACACAAAAGGGAGGATTTTGGTGAGGAGCCGCACGCAATTGAGTATTTCCTGGTGTGGTTTCTTCGCCGAGGCCCGGGCAAACTCGGAGAGCTTGGCCACAAGCACCCCGGCGAAAACAAGCATGTTCGGGAGGTTCTGATCACGCACGGTTTGCACATCGTACGGCGTGAGAAGCTCGAAAATGTCCAGGGCATCGCGGGGCACGGTCCAGAACACCCGCCAAAACGGCCGGTCACTAGGTGCGATCACCCGGCCCTGCCCGAGCTTGAAGAAGTGGTTCTTGAACTGGATTTTTTCCTCGGGCGTCTTCATGAGTGCCGCGGAGTTAAGCGAGGAGCTCGATGTCGGATGGTCGGGTTCTGTGGGGCCGGATATGTCAACTCGCGAGAGATGTGGTTTGCGGCAAGACCAGAAGGCTCGAGACATCATCTCAACGCGCCGGGCGCTCTGTGCAGGCCGGCGACTTTAGCGGCTCGCTTGGGCTTATCTCTAAACGCAGGTCGGACTATTGGCGGCATTGGCAACTTTTTCTATTGCTTGCTTGTAGTTAAAGGAGGGGCGGGAAGAGCAGGAGGCCCGGTAGCGGGCGCTGCGTGGCTGATGGCGGGAAGAGGGGGCCAAATGGTGGGGCATTCGCAAGTACCAGGAGCCGTGTGCGGCTTCGTGAGGTCTGCGCGGCGGTGTTCAACGCATCTGGAAAACAGACATCCCCAAAGGCCATACAAAAGAGACGAAGAAGGACCGGAAAAAGGGGATCTGAGCATGCGGGGGAAAGTCTGGACAAACGCCGGGAAGCATGACGGAGAAGGGCCGAACCCCGAAGAAAGGCTGGGAGGGATGATGGAGTGAGGCTGGGAAGGATGAGAAGAGAACTACGCACATGCCTCTCGGGCTGTGCCAGCCTCGAACTCACCGACACCTCGAGCAAAAAGATCTGACAGCACGGTTATTTTGGGAAGCACCAATGTCCATGTTCTTGATGAGATCTTCGTGGCCAGGGGCCGATGACAGTGGCACTTTGGAGTCTCAACCTTGCACAATGCAATCGCAGCGGTGATCACTCTCCTTCTGCTTGCTGGATTTGCGCCGCTAATTCGGGGTACTCGAAACCGCGGCGCCCGAGGACCGAATCGTGATCCGTGGGATGAGTTTCCAGGTGCCAGACTCGGTACAAAGTGGCCATTTCCTAGTCATCGTTTTGCTTGCTCCAACGTGGGGCACCCCAGAAAGCCGGCTCCTCCTCCAGCAGACCCCAGCATCGCTGCGCCGAGCCAACAGCACCTAGAATCAACTTTGGGCTTCTCACCCCTGATTCAGCCAATCCGTCTCTGCTTCTGCGCCTCGCGCGACACCGACGACCGGCGCCGCACCACACCGGCCACCGTCACATAACCAACTGCGACATTCATCCCCGCCTCTCCGTCCGAGTTTTCTTCGCTGGGGTCGGCCATTCCAAGATCGTCCGCATCGCCGCTATTGACCCAGCTTGCAGGCATCTCGAGCTGGGGGCCGGGGCCCGAGTCCGCGGTGATCCATTCGTGGTCTGCGGTGATCCATTCGTGGTCCGCGCCAAAGCCATCGGTCTCGGATTCAGGCTCCGAGTCGTAGTGCAAGGCGGAGCACGTGCCCAAGGCCTCGTATAACTGTGGCACGGCACAGGGCGCCACTAAGAGCGGCGAGTAAAACAGCAGGCTCGTCTGCTGGCCCGGCCGGCCGGCCCGCAAGATAAGCTCCACTGTCTGCGTGTATTCCGAGACGGCCACGCTCTGGAAAAGCTCACACGAGAGTACCTGGAGATATAACACCGACTCGCCCTCCACATCCTTGAGAGCATGCAAAGCTATCAGCGGGTATGGCAATTCTACCCCGAGGCCTGTGGATCCCTGCATGCCCAGAAACCATAACACCACGCTCGTGTCAAGGACGAAAACAGCCACGGAAGAGCCCGCCGCCCGTAGTTTCTCGTGTACATGTATGCTGCTGGTGGCGAGAATTTCAAGGCTGCAATCACCATTCCCAGCATAGAGGACCATCTTGTCGCCGTCTCCCTGTGAGTAGCGAGCCGGAGACTGCGCTCGGAATAGTTCTAGAGGCAATGTGTTTTCCACGTTCGGGCACTCGTGGATAAAACGAGGAGATTTTCCCATGATCCGCAATTGTTCGATCTTTAGAGCGGTATTCGCAGGTCCAGGAAACTTCGAGGCAACGTGTGGCGCAAACCAGTGTCACTATTCGACTTCGGTGGATGATGAGGAAATTGGCCGAACGATTTGTTGAGATGCGCTCTGCGCGGCCGCACGAGCGACCGCGACATTCTGGGCGAGATCCGGCAAGATCAAACGGAAGGAGTAACAGGACATATAACCACCGACTGGAGTTCATGAGTATTCGTCTTTTCCTTTTTTTTTTTCTCTTTTAATATGCCTTTTTTTTTTGTCTTGGTTACCATGTAGTCTCCGCTGGTGGTCGACGGCACAGTCTAGGAAAAGAAGCACGCGCTTTGAATCAGCGTGCATGAAAGCCATAATATATTCCAGACGATATTTATTGACTCCAAGCATTCTGACGCACAGCCTAATCACCCGGAAAGTTTTCTTATAAGTCTCAGAAAGACGGGGTTGTGGCCCGTGCCGCTGTCGAGCTCCTTTTTGATTCTCTTTTGTCTCTCTTCCTCCTGCTTCACACGCTCATCTTTCGAAGGCGGCAAGGCCTCGTTGGCCAAGTCCGCCTTTCGGGCATCCTCAAAAGTCATAATTGCATTCTCGAGTCCCTCTCTTCCATGCAGCAACGAGCCCTTAGGCAAGACGCCCTGATTCATGTTCTTGAGCCGCTCCACTTGCTCGGCGTCTTCTCTCAACACCTGGAACATCCGCGACATTCTGCCAATGGCAAGAATCTTGTTGCGCAAGGCAAGCCTCTTTTCTTCGAGTGTCGGCTCCTCTGGGTCCGGAGGCACCGCAGCTTCATCGGAGAATGATTCTAGCGATCTTGCCATCACAGGCGAAGTCCGAGGAGAGTCGTAGTGCTGAGCAATGGGCGTCTCCTCGTCGAGCTCCTCTTCAGTACAGATGTTCAAGATGGAAAGCAACATGTCTGTGATCTTCTCTCCCACAAACGGCAATGACCAGGTGAAGACGTCCATGAACTGTGGGAGCCAGTACGGGTGCGGGGAGCTGTTGAACTGTCGGATGTTCATCACGTTGTTCTCGTACTTGAGCACCGCGGCCTTGTTGTTGTACGTGTCCAAGTAGTTGGGGGCACTGAACATCGTCAACAACGACGGGAACCCCATTGTTTTGGTCCGCTTGTACATCCTGTAGCCCGCATCCTGGGCCTCGTGGGCGCGGATAATCGAAAGCAAGCCTGTTCTCTCCAAAAATTGGCACGCTGCCTTGTACGTGTACGCGTAGGAGCAGCCCCTCACAGTGTTGCGCACGAAGGTGCGGTCGATGTTGTCCTCATCGTAGTCTTCCACCGGGTCAGCCCAGAGCAAGTCGCACATGAGTCCTTTGGTCGGAGGTTCCCGGAAACGGTCTAGCTGCACCAAATCGTCCAAGGAGCGCATCTCGGGGGAAAGCCCGCCGTGCACGCAGAAAAACTGCTTGTTCATGATGGCGGCCAAGGGCAACGCGTTGAAGGATTGCAAGCACTCGTCGTAGACGTCCAACGAATACTTCTTGACACACTCGGACTTGAAAGTGAAGTAGTCGGTCAAGTGCTTGCATTCGTGGTTTCCGCGCAACATCCAGAACAGATCGGGGTACGTGAGCTTCAACGAGTACAAGTAGAGCAAGCACTCAATGGAGAACAGGCCGCGGTCGACGTAGTCGCCCAAAAACAAGTATTTGGTCAGCTCGGGGTCGCCGCCAACCTCGAAGAGCTTCATCAAGTCGTAGTACTGACCGTGCACATCGCCACAAACGGTCACGGGCGCTGGCACTGAGAGCAAGTTGGGCTCCTGCGACAAGGCGGCCGTCGCACACTGGATGAGCCTGATGGCCTGGTGCTCTTGCAAACGGCCCTCGTTGAAGAAGTGATCCTTGAGGAACGCGCAGTTGGGCAAGCCGTTCTCCAAGAAGACGTCGCTGTCACTGGGGTTGAATGTGGCGGGGTAGGCCACGGTCTTGACCACGCGGTCCGTGGTGTCGATTTGCTGCCCGTCGTCCGTGGTGTAGATGCGGATGTCGCTTTTGTTTGCCTTCGGCAGCAGCTGCGACTGGCTGATGGCGTCCAACGCGTTCCTGATGTGGTCTCTGTTTTGCTTGGCGTCTCCCAGCATGGTGTCGATTTTGCGCTGGCTGGCTGGTCAGTGTGCGCCGGCGAGGGGAGGCCGGGGTGTATGTAGAATGGGGACGTGATTTGGGGCTGCGTGCCGGAAAGTCTGTCGTGTTGCAGAGCGTCTATGTTTCTGTGACAGAAGCCTGTGTTTTGCTGCAAGAAAGCGGGGTGTTTTCTTGTTGCCGGATTTTCTCGTTCAAGGATTATGCCCGAGGAGCGTGCGATAAAATGCCTGTAGGGGTGTGCGATGAAATGCCAGGTGACTGATGGCGGTAGGTACAGGCCCGCGGCTCAGACGGGCCATAAAAGGGGAGGTGCCATATCCAAAAAAAAAGCGGGCGGGTAAATCGGCAGCCAGGGGGCAAAACGCAAAACCCTTGGAAATGAAGCCCTTGGAAATAAATCGCAGAGAGCACGTGTAAACAGAGCGAGCTGAGAATACTTATATTTGGCCCCTGGCCGCAGCTCTGGCTAAAAGAGCGGGTGGTCATTTATGGATTGGAAAAACCGTGGAGTAGGCAGTAGGCCCTAGGCGCGGGCCTGGCGCTGCGGTGAGTTTTGCAACCGCGGCCACACAGAGGGGAGCACGTGACCAGAATTGGAGCAGCCTGGCCCGGACACCCAGGGCCGTCTCCAAGAAAAGGAGTATTTCTGTCTTTCAAATTACAAGCGTGCCGCTGGCGTCCGGGGATATGGCTGCAAAAAGCGGGTGTCTGGCCTAGAAAAATGGGGGGTCCAAAGCCGAGCCGCAGGTCACGTGCGGACGTCTCCAGGGCCCCGGCTACGGTTTGCTCCCATGTCCCTTTTTTATTCTACTTGCTTTGGCCATAAGCATAATCAAAAGATTGGAGTACAGTATGCAAATATCTACCTAAGATGCCAGTAGATCATGAGTCTAGATTCGAGGCTGATAGCTGTGCTGCTTCAAGGAATGTGAAGTACCAATAAGCCGAAAGCTCGAAAGAACATTTAATGATCAAGCTGTCCGATTGATATAACCCCGGTATTTCTGAGAGTGGGTTTATACCTCCGCCCCAGTTTCAGAGTGTGATGCTGGAGCCCGGTGCTCATCATATCAGCGAGGGTTTATAAACCTAGTTTTCCGGCAGCTTTTTGAATCCAAGGCTGTTTTCGGTTCAGTTGCTTCGTAGACACAAGGCTTCCGGTTTTCCGGTTGTGGCTGTTGTCGTATCATCGGCGGCTAATAAATATGCCTTTTTTGCCAGCGACATTCAAGCATAGTTTGCCATCCACCCATTCAAGCAACGCAGCGAAGCAAAACCAGAAACAATGTCCTCAGGTACAATCACGTGGACTCAGCTGCAAGAAAGTGTTCGGAACCTGAGTCAGATAGCGAGTGCTCTTTTATAAACTCTTTTGGCTGGCCGTCTCGATATCAACAGAATGTGACCGATCCAGGACCACCGAGATACCGCGAACTACAGAGATATTGCCAGACTGTGGAACTACAATGATTTCACAGCTGATGCAGATTTGCAACCCTCATAACTTGCCGTTTGGCTGGATTTCCAGAATGCCAATATAACAAGGGGAATCAACAAATCGACAGCTCAATATAGCCGGCCTGCAGGGCGCTTCAGCCTTGGCGAGGACTAATATTACCCTTCCAAGTTCAGTCCCATCTATATGCCAGCCTAGCCCAGTCCATGGACCCGAGCTTGATGGTTTACACTTAAAGAGACGGAGAACCCAAAAGCTGGTGAGATGGTGTATTAGATTTTTGCTTGAAGTGACTTTCCACGTCTGTCATGCCGAGCACTTGTACAACAAGGTCGCGAAGCTAATATTTCAAGTGCCTGCTAAATTCCACTGTCAGGCGAAACAGAAGAGGCCGGTTCGGGCTGCACTATGGTCCAATGTCTATTTCTCAGAAAAGGAAACCCCTCTACGCTACGCTGTGGTGCTCCTAATACTTCAATATTTCTATTATAGCAAGGCTGCTGAAGCTCATCAGCCCCTTATTCACTAGAAACATACTTGACAACCGACCGGCCGCTAAATCCGTTGAACGAAGTAGTGGCAGCAGAAGTATACGCCCCCAAGTTGGGGAAGTAAAGCCAGTCCCCCACGTGCACGTTTGCTGGCAACACAGCACGCGGCGCCACACAGTCCAACCCATCACAGGTGGGCCCCCAGATCAGGAAGGTGTACTCCTCGGCATGTTTTTCCCCAAAGTCGTTGTAAACACGGCCCTCGCTCTTCAAGACTCTCGCCACAGGGTGCTGGTGGTCAAAGAGAATGCAGTTCAAGTTTCCGTACACACCGTCGTTGATGTAAAGCATGGCTTCCATGCCATCCGCGCCCCGATCCAAGTCCCTGCGGGCAATAATGTGGGTGGCCAAGGTAAACGCATTTGCCACCATGAACCGCCCTGGTTCGGCAATGATGCGCACGCCATTGCGCTCCACATACTCGGAGGGGAAAAACTTCTTCAAAGACGAACGCACCATGCGCGAGGACTCCTCGAAGGTCTCTCTTTCGAATCCACCGCCAATGTCCAACAAGGTCATTGGCGCGCCCAACAGCTGCGCCTTGTCGAAAATCATCCGGGCCTGTTTGGTTGCCTGGAAGATCGAGTCGAAATCCTTCGCCCCAGAGCCCACGTGGAACGCCACGCCCACAGCGTCGATCCCCAAGTGCAAGCACTCAGGCAACAACTCCTCCAAGGCTGTCTCGAGCGTGCATCCGAACTTGGTGGACAATCTGCACTGCGCCGACTCGTCATCAGTGGCGATTCTGATCAACACCTTGCAGTCCGGGTGGAACTTCTTCAACTTGTAGAGCTCCTGCTTGTTGTCAACAGTGGTCAAGTTGACGTTGGAGTTCTTGGCGTGGCGGATGAACGAGTTGGTTTTGCACGGGTTGGCGTACACAATACGAGAGGAGTCGAACCCGAGACGCAACACGGTGTCTATCTCGTTTTTCGAGGCACAGTCAAAATTGGCCCCCATGGACCCCAACAACTTCACGACCTCTTCGTCCGTGTTGCACTTGATTGCATAGTGAGCGTGGACCTGAGGCAATTTCTGCTCCCAAAGCCTATAGGCCTTGGCCACTTGCCCCAAATCCGCCACAAAAAACGAATCCTCGTCTCCGGCGTCGCAGACATCGTGATCGATCTGATCAACCTGGGCAAGCAAGGCCCTTTTCACCAAACCTGGCCACTCTTCAGAGCCCCCAGAAGAAGATTGCTTTTCCACATAGTAAGCGTCTTCGGGGACATTCCCCGCCGGGTTGGCTGGGATTTTGATAGCATCTTCCGCAATTAAATAGGATTCTGCATTATTCAAAACTTCAACGGAAGGTGCCATAACTTGGAACGACAGGGCTGAATAAATTTCGGACTCGTCTGAACTGGTTCGGTGCTGGATTGCTGAAATTCACAAGCAACACAAGGCGAGGGAATATTTCTGTGCAATAAGGGCAATTCTTTTTCTAATACTCACTGGACTGGTGAGTAAGATAGCTGATGAACTTCAAGCGGCAGCTCTCGTAGATAAAAAAGGGTTTCTAGGCAAGAATGAAGGCGACTCTTATTGCAATTTGGAGGAAAAAACTTTTCGACTTGCACCGTGAGCGTAGTGTGCACACAATCACGCGGCTCTTCACCCACCGCAACCCGCCTCATGCGAGGGCCATGTAATTAATTGTCAGAGGGCGGGGCGGGACATGCTTAATAACCCAAAGGCTCTTTTCCAATCTCCAAAAAGAACATTTGGTATTAAATTGCGTGCGGTATGAATTGCGTGTTTATAAATAGCAGGGATTCCGCAGACCCTATCCCTGAGGTGTCCAAAGACTCTCAATCTTTGTAGCGTGTGCTTCGCACTCACAACTCAATGAGCGGCTCGGGCTCCGCCCTGAATTTCCTCGACTCATTGGTCGTCAGTCTCTTCAAGCCTGCGGCCAGCTCCAGCCCCAACTCTGGAAGACCCAAGTCGTGCAACAGAGGAAATCTGGCAGACGCATGCTCGCGCGGGCCGTCACTAGGAACATCGCCGTTGTCTTCGCGGTACCTCTCTTCGATAGGGGGGTATTTGCTCGCTATACTCTCCGTATCACTCAAGCCGTCACTGGGCGGACTGGATGGCACCTGCGGGTACGCGGGCACGCTGGTGCTTATGTAGTGCTGCTGCTGCCCCGCATCATCGGCTGCCTCGACAGCTTCGTGGCTCGACTCACCGTTTTCAACAAAATTACCGAGATCGGCTGGGTACGGCGCGCGAGATTCTCTCCGCTTGGAGCTCGAGCCGTGTGCTGCGTGAGTGATTGGCGCGGAGAACTCAGGCGCCTCGCTCGACTCACTAAACTGCTGCCGGGGAGTGGCGATTTGGGAGAACGCAGGCAGGTATCCTACCGACGGGTCCATGTTTTGAGGCTCACTGGCCTGGGGGCCTGTAGATTGAGACGTGTTCCGGAGTGGGCCTATGTGCAGAGGGGGTCCATCCTGTGAGGCAGGTTGCTGGTGGGCTCTATCATGTAGGGCCGGTTGCTGGTGGGCCGTTTCGTGCAGGGCAAGTTGCTGGCGAGACGCATCAGGTGGCGCGGTTTGATAAGACATGCCAGGCGGCGGAATTGTTTGATACTGCTCGTCTTGGGGAGCGGTCTGCTGGGGCGGAAATTCCGGGTGCTGGTAGGACAAGGGCTGGGGAGCCGTGGCCTGGTATGGAAGCAGGTAGCCCGTTGTCTGTGGACTGGCGAGTTGCGAGCCAGCATGGGGGGAGTGTGCCTCCAGCGGGCGGTTCCCATTTTCGAAAAACAGCGGGGCGTAGCGGGACGCGTCATTTTGCAGTGGCTGGCTATACGCGGCGCCCGGCAGCGAGACACTGTGCTTGCTGTACGCCTGGCTGAGCTTGTGGTCCAAGAACTGGTCGTACAAGCGGGTGATGGAGTTGATCTTGTTGTTCATTTCCAAGAACAACTCGTGTCTCTCGATGGACGAGCGGAGCGCGCGGTTCAACTTGGGCTTCAAGCGCACGACACGCCCATGCAACTCGCCCAAGTTCTGGTCGTACAAGATGCCGGCCTGTTTGGCGGGGTCGCTCTTGATGCCGCTCATGAGCTGGACAAACAAGTTGATGTCGTCTTCCTCCTGCGGCGACAAGTCTTCTGCTGGGCGCAGCAGCTGTTCAGGCTGCGGAGGCGATTGCCGCTGGGGCTGGGGCTGGGGCTGCTGGTGCTGGGGCTGGGGCTGCTGGTGCTGGTGCTGGGGCTGGGGCTGAGAGGCCTGGATGCCAGACAGCTGTCGGTCCGGGCGTGGCCGTGCTGGCTGGTGGCCACCGTGAAGGGAGCCCGTGCTCTGGTACGCGGTGGTGTTGAAGGGCATGATGCCCAGGTAGAAGTCCAGGCCCGGCTCTGCCAGCGGGCCCGGGTCCGCAGGGCGAGTGCCGGCGCCCCGGGCCTGCTGGTATTCGGCCAAGCTGGCGGCCATGGCGGCCTTCAAGTCGGCGTCGTCGGCGTCGGTGTCGGCGGGCGGGGGCGGCGCCACGTGGCCGGGGGGCGGCGACGGCGGCCGCTGGGCGGCCTCAAACGTGGCCTGCACGCCCGTCTCCTGGAGGCTCAACTCGATGGCCCGCCGGAGCTGCTCGTCGTCGTCGTCTGCGGGGGCGGGGGCGGCCGAGTCGCGTTTGGCGGGGCCTGGCGCGCCGTCGGCGCGGCCCGCCGCGCGGCTGTGGATCTGGAAGCAGTCGTCGCACACGCGCACGGGCTGGAGGATGCCGAGCGCCACCAAGGGCATGCGGCGGCTGGAGTGGGCCTGGCAGAACACGCCGCCGCAGGCGCGGCAGTGGTGCTTGCGGGTCATCACCAGGAACGGGGTGTAGCAGACCATGCACTCGCGGCCGTCCACCCAGTCGGGCGGCGCGGCCGAGTCCACGAAGTTCCGCGCGTTGGCGGCGAGCGGCGCGGCCACGGCCGGGAACTCGTAGCCCTGGCTGGCCAAGGCCGCGTGGGCCCGGGCCACGTAGCTGCCCTGCGGCTGGCCCTGGAGGTACAAGGCCCACTCCTGCACGAGGCGCAAGATCTGCGTGCCGAGCGCATGCTTGGCCTCGGACGAGTACACGCGGTAGTTCTTGGTGTCGTAGTGCACCTTGAAGATGTACTCCACGAGGTAGTCGACGAACTCCTTCAGGTTGATTTCCGCCACGAAGTGTGCGCCGCCGTTCTTGACGCACACGTCCGCCAACTTGAGCACGGCCGCCAACGTGTTGGGGTTGCCGTAGACCTTGGCCAAGCGTTTCTTCAAGCACCGCATGGCCTGTTTGGGCGGCACCTTCTTGCTGCGGATGAGGTCCGTGATTTCCATGGCCGCGGCCATGTCCATCTCGCCGTTGGGGATGGCCTCGGACGTGGCCTCCTCGATCCGGGCGTCCAAGTCCGCGGCGGGGTCGGCGGCAAACCACGACATTTTGTGGGCGGGCGCCGGCGGCTAACTAGGGGGCAGAAGGGGGTGGCAAGCGCCGGGGTTCTTTTTGTGTGCTTTTTGCTTTTTGCTTTTTGTTTTTTTTTTCTGGTCCGGGAAGCGCGTTTTGCCGGGCGGACTGGAAAGAATGAAGCAAGAGGTGATTGGGGAGAAAAGGGCCGGGGACGGGCAGATGGATGGATTGCTGGGAGGAGTATGGAATATGCTTGGGGAGTTGAGGGAAGTTGTAGTATGGATTCGCGGAGGCGCGGGCTGTGCAGGTCATGGAGGGGGCAAAGGATTCTGATTGAATTTTTTTTTTAAAGAAACATCAAATTATTGTGGAGGTTTGGAGGAATTTGGGGTTTGGGGAAATTTGGGGTTTGGAGGAATTGTGGGTTTGGGGAAATTTGGGGCTGGGGCTGGTGGAATTGAATTGGGACAGCTCGGAGATTTGTTTGTTCGTTTGGCCTTTTGGCGAATTGTGGGCCAACTGCGTTTGCTTGGTGCGGCGTGCTCGGTGCATGTTCCATTCTGCTTGTCTGGTTGTGTGTCGATCTTGGCCTTTAGTCTGTTGTTTGGCTGTTTTTTTATTTTGGCTGTTTTTTATATTGGCTGTTTTTTATTTTGGCTGTTTTTTATTTTGGCTGTTTTTTTATTTTGGCTGTTATTTTATTTTGGCTGTTTTTTTATTTTGGCTGTTATTTTATTTTGGTGAGTATTAATCTTAGTTTCCAATGATCCTTGCTGTCTGAAAAAAGTGATTTCTATTCATCTTAGTTGTCTGGTAAACTTGGTTACTATTAATTTTGGCTTTCTGCTAGTATTAGTTTCGATTTGTCTAGGCTGACTGTAAATATTGGCTTACTGGAAATATTAACTGAATGTAAATATTAACTGACTGTAAATATTAACTGACTGTAAATATTAACTGACTGTAAATATTAACTGACTGTAAATATTAACTGACTGTAAATATTGGCTGTCCTTTAACTTGGTTTCTATTGATCATGGTCTCTATTATTATTGATTTTGCTTGTTCGATTTTGATTTTCTCTTAATCTGGCTTTAATCTTAGTTGAGGTCTGGGTCTTGGTTTAATTTGGCCGCCTCTTAATCTTGACTTTCACTGAGACTGTCTATTTATCCTGGTTGCCTGCTTATCCGAGTTGTCCAATCTTGGTAGGCTTTTGATTCTCTGTTAATCTTGTTTGTCTCGTATTCTTGGTTTCTATTGATATTTGTTTCTATTAATCTTGGCTCACTGTGATTGTTGGCAATCTACTGATCTTGTTTTCTTAATTGGTTTCTGTTATTCTTGGGCCCTATTGATTTTGCTTGTCTGATTTTGCTTGTCTGATTTTGCTTGTCTTTTAACCTCGCCTTCAATCTTAGTTGTAATCTTGGTGTTGATTTATTTAGGCCGCCTCTTAATTTTCGTTCACTTTAGACTGAATGTTTATCTTGACTGTCTGTTTATCATAACTGTCTTTATCTTGGTTGTCTATTAATTTTGATTGTCTGTTATTCTTCGTTTCTTCTAATCTTGGTTGTCTGCAAGTATTGGTTTCTTCTAATCTTGGCTGTCTGTAATTGTTGATTTCTATATATCTTCCTATTCTGTTTAATTTGGCTGTTTGCTAATTTTAGTTGTCTGTAGACATTGGTCTCTATTAATCTTCATTGTCTGTATGTCTTGAATTCTGACAATCTTGGCTTTTAATCTTGGGTATAATCTTGGGTATAATCTTGGGTATCGGTGTGTGTTCATTTTTACTTTTTTTGGTTGTCGGTTTTTTTATCTGTTCTTCTTGGCTCTTAAGTTTTTGTCTGTTAACTTTGGTTGTCCATTAGTTTTGGTTGTCGCTGTCTACTAATTTTGGTTGCCTGTTGATCTGTTTATTAATCTTGGTTGTTTTTTTGTCTAGGTTTTGGTTAATCTTGGCTCTCAATTTTGATTTTTGACTCTTGATGTTGGTTGTCTGTTAATCCTGCTTTTTGATCTTGGTTGTTGATTGGACTTGGGATTCCCTTGCTTGTTTGATAATTCCAGTTTTTAGTAATCTTTGTGTGTTAATCTTGGCTTTCAGTCTATTCTTGGTTATCCGTTTTTGGCGGTTTGTGAACGTTGCTATCTATTGATCTGGAGTGTTTTCAATCTTGTTTTTCCATTATTCTTGGATGCCCACTTACTGGGACTATCTGCTAATCGTGGCTATCTGCTATTGTTGGCTATCTGATAATCTCAATTCTTGTATATCTTGTTTGCTGTTAATCTTGGTCAATCTTAGTACTGTTAATCTTGGGTGTCTACTTACCTGGACCATCTGTTATCTTGACGTTCTGTTTATCTTGGTCTTCTTGCACTTTGCACTTCTTTCACTCAGTTGGGCCTATTTGGTCCGGCTATTTCTTGCATGAGGTGCCGGTACTGTTTAAGATCGTATATTGACCCACATTATCTTCAAGAAAGTATGCAGGTAAAAAGCCCCTTTGTACTAAACGGATTCCTTCCCTGCGTTGCAGATCCGAATATCGTCATACGATGAAAGTCAGGTCATCAACGGCAGCGACCGGTCCAAATAACGGCGACAGAAAAGCGCTGTGCAGGCAGGTTAGTGGACCATCAAATATACGGGAAATTCGGGCCATGTGAGAGCTCACAGCCATCACAGGCAAATGGAAACGCTGTGTATGAAACATGCCAAAAACGGCTTCTCGAAGCACGCAAATATATTTGACACACCCAAATACAGCAAGAAACAAACATTTCCTCACCCCATAAAAAGCTCGTGCTGGAGAAAAAATCCTCGGGATACACTGAATGTTGCACGCCTCTTTCTCTAGCAGATTCCCAGAAGTTATGGTTCAGTGCACTGGAACTCTCTATGTGTCTGCGAGCTATAAGAGTCTTTTTGATATCTACAAAAGAAATGGGCCGTTTTTTTTTATTGAAAACGCACCAAACCACAACAACGGCTGTCATTCCATCCAAAAGACCCGAAACCCGAATATCTTTCATGATACATCACCATCTCATCAATCAAAAGCTTCTTTTCCGGCAAAACGCCGGTTGACTGCAGCTAATTTGGCCCAGCCTAACTGAAACTCAAAATCACAGTGGAACTTCTGTCTTCAGATACCACACGATGTCTTGTACAATTTGAGCAGGGAGAGCCAGCTGATGTGCGGTTTCACTCGGTATTCCAAGAGGCGTCAGGCATGTGGAGGCCCGGATATGCGCACGGCGGACTCCGGGGACCCAGACCTGCATGCAGGGTCTGATCTGCTACTCTATCTGCACCTGCCAAACTCGGCCCTCGTTATCAGCAAGATCAACCACGTTTCTAGTCTCAACTGCTCCTGGCGACCGCGTGCCCGTCTTCAAATACAGACGCCTACCGACAGCCAAGGTCACGTGACAGCACAGTCCCGCCGGTCCCCTTGGAAGCATACCGTGTTTTCCTGCACCGTACCATGTACCCGATAAACACACGCCAAACACGGTCTAGCACTCGTGAGGAGTCGAAGAACGAAATAGTTTCAGAAGATCTCCAGACCCCGAGGGAGGATAACAAGAAAATCTCTTCTCTGCAGAAAGCGAAGCACCCAGGCTTGCACATAGCACGTGGGAAGCAACAACGGTCTCAACTTCGAGATATCGAAAGTTGCAGGGACGAAGGAGGCATCAACTTGCCAAAGACAGCCACGGGATCTTGTGTTGCTGAAAAAGACAGAATGAAACTGAGGGAGCTTATGGATCCCGAGGCTCATCTCAACAAACTCCAACAGGAGTCCTCTCAAGCCAGCCGGCAAAGATCTGTCATTTCACCCATCCCAATCAAAGACAGGACGATGCGGCTGCCCGAAAGTAGACGTACGAAAAACCTCGCCTCAACTGGACAAGTCTCTCGTTCCGGAAAGCAAGGGGCTGCCGTCGAAATCAACTTTCTGCAGCATGCCAAGCTACGGCCTCGAAATAACCCAGCCCCACCGAACGTGAACGGCTGTACGAGCCATGGCCATATCGAAGGGCCTATCCAGAGCCAATGCACAAACACGCCAAACGAGGCCAGGCGGCGCAAATGCTCGCGGCTTTCCGAACAGCCCGTTCCGAAGAAAAAAAGCTCAAGGAGAGAGCCGGGGTTAGTGAGAGGTCAAGGGGCCGCCCCAATTTCTCCGTTGTATGGCTCAACCCCAGGACAAAGTAGGCTGGGTGCAGGTCCATTTGGATCCCAAGGTATGTGTTCTGGAACCACGTCAAACTTCCACACTGGCCCGGTAGAGGGTGATCCGAAGGGACAGCCCACTGAAGGCCATCTCACCGTCTCTGAACAAATGCAAGCGTCTGCAGAACTGTCGCCTTTTGATGAAGCAGCAGGTTTCATTGCCAACAATTCCACCCACGTATACCCGTCGTCCGGCCCTTTGCAAGAAAGTCCCGGCTCTTTACAGGAATCGCCCGGTTCTTTGCAGAATCCGCCCGGTTCTTTGCAGGAGTCGCCCGGTTCTTTGCAGAAATCGTCCGGTTCTTTGCAGAAATCGCCCGGTTCTTTACAGGAATCGCCTGGTTCTTTGCAGAATTCGCCGTCCCCCCAGCGTTGGGAAAACGAACGCCAGGAACTCCCAGACCCACCTTGCCAAGCAGACAAGTTGGCCAGCGAGGAAATAAGCCGGCAGCTCATCGAGGCACTTGTCGAGGTCGATCAGCAGATCCGCGCCCAGAGTTTAGCAGCAAGCCCAGCAGAACCACCGCCAGCATCGTCCAGAGACGCGGCGCTCGAGTGTGAGTTCTGCTCCAGGAAACTCCTCAAGCACAGCGACTTGGTCAGTCACGTCAGAACACACACGGGCGAAAAGCCATATGTGTGTCTGGTCTGCGAAAGGCAGTTTTCCTTGCGAGGGAACTTGAATGTGCACATGAAAAGCCACACGCTAGGAAAGACCCACGAGTGCTCCGTGTGTCACAAGAGCCTATCCTCCAAGAACGCCTTGGCCCACCACAGCAGACGCCACACGGGAGGACATGCCTTTGAGTGCGCTATCTGCAAGAAAGGCGTGGCCAAAAAGAGCCTCTTGTCGTACCACATGCGAAGCCACACCGGAGAAAAGCCGTTTGCGTGCGGGCTCTGCAACAGGCGGTTTTCGTTGAGGGGCAACTTGACCGCTCATATCCGCATGCATACGCGAGAGAAGACGTACCAATGCCCGGTCTGCCAAGAGAGGCTTCCCTCGAGAAACGCGTTGAGGCTCCATAAACAGAGCCATCTCACCGCAGCATCGCACGAATGCTCCATCTGCCGCAAAACGCTATCTTCGAACGCCCATTTGCTTGACCATTTGCGAACGCATTCTGGCGACAGGCCTTTCAAATGCCCGGTATGCTCTAAGGCATTTCCTTCCTCGGGGAACTTGGCTCGGCACACGAAAACACACAAGAGGCAGGACGGACACATGGGTCCTTGATGCCAAACCGCTGCTCCGTCCACGTGTCGGTCGGGGGCCTGGCAGCCGAGGCTCTTATGACGGAGGCCAGCTTCCAGGCCGGGCGCAAGCGATATTGGCATGGACCAGATGGGCCACATGCATTCAAACCCCGGCCTGCATGCCCAAGCACACCCCGCCCTAGACACCGGTGCTACGGTCCCTCCTGGCAAGTTCATGCGTGGTTTACGACAATACGCTATACATTGTGTGTGGCAGCAGGGCCCATTCCCCAGGCCGGGTGTTTGCAATTACGCCGCCACGTTGCCGGGCCCACGCCCAAACGGAGGGCGCGACCGGCCAACGGAGGCGCTCCGGCCGCGATCCCTAAAAGAGCAGAAAGCCACATCTCGCCTCCAGTATCTATCCGCGGAGCACGTAGGCCGCCGAGGAGGCGCCCAACACACCCACCGCAGCCCACCAAAACATGTCGAGCTTGGGGCTCGAGAAGTCGCGCACCGCGCTGGTCCGGTACAGGTTCTCCAAGGACCGTTTGATCCGCCTGCGCAAGGAAGACGAGGTTTCCGACGCGGCGTCCGTGGGGTTCAACGCGTACGTGGGCAACATCACGGGCGGCTTGTACGCCAAGTACAAGGGCTGCATCTTGGAGCCATCGAACTGGTAGATCTGGAGCATGTAGCGGCCGTAGTAGGAGGACACCGAGACCTGGTATTTCTCGAACCACGTCGACTGCACGTAGCGCGAATAAACGGCATTGGACGAGCTGGAACCGCACGGGTCGCTCAAGAGCTGTCTTCCGTCCACGGCGATCGGCGTGAGCACCAAGCTGCCGTTGGACAAGAGCTCGTATGTTCCGTGCTGGTACGTCATGGATGCAATGGGGCACGAATGGTCCACTCCGTTGGACGTGATTCGGTAGAGCGCCTCCTCGTAGTAGCCGTCGGAGGTGAACGAGTACGAGATGCCGGGAAGCGCCGGCTCGATCAAGAGCTCGTCCACGGGGTCGTAGTAGTCGGGGCCCGTGAAGACCGTGTTGGATTTGGACGTCCAGGTCCCCTCCAACTCCTCCATATTCGGCTCTGCCGCCACGAGCTGTAGGACGCACAACGCCCCGAGAAACGCGGAAAAGGATTTCATGGTGGTAATGAGGGATGTGTGATCAAGAGTCAGACCAAGTGTGAGATCAAGTGTGATCAAGAGTCAGACCAAGTGTGAGATCAAGTGTGATCAAGAGTCAGACCAAGTGTGAGATCAAGTGTGATCAAGCTGTGAAATCAAGTTGTGAAATCAAGTTGTGAAATCAAGTTGCCAGCCAGAATTTGGAGACCGAGGGTTAATTCTCGTCAGATCAAGTTGTGTGTGACTAACCACTGGTTCACGTAGCCGCCGAGAAAGTGGAAGTGCGCGGCAGGGCAAGGCTCGGAAATCGAAAAGTGGGCTGTGGAGCGAGCACTTATAAAGTCTGGTTTTGCGGCGTCACGTGACTGCGGCGGGAACGGGCTAGGTCGGGCTCAGTTAAAGAGAGGTGTTGGTGAAGAACAATGTGCTCTGCACTGGTAAAAAAGGTCCTACTGTGGACCCGGCGCGCGAGGCTTGCTGCAGTGTGTGCAGGACGCCGCGAGAAGAAGGCTGTGTCTGAACGTTGAGAGGTCCCAGAATTTCACTGGTGTGGCCGGGGTTTGGAATGTGGTGGTGTTTTTGATGAGGCAGATATCTAGGGTGGGCCGGTTTCAGGATGCCGAGCTGGCTCAGTTCTGGGCACTCGGAATCAAACTCGTCGAAGCGGCAGGCCCGGGGTCACGTGACCAAGGCACACTGTGAGGGGGCTATTTATAGACTGACAAGCCGTGTGGTGACGTTGCGCCGATGTGTATTGGCCATGTCCGGCCACATATAGCTCGGCGCATCCATGTGATCTGGGGTCTGGCATTATTTTGGCGCCTGCCCGAAAGTATTGGGAGTATGTGGCGCGGACGCGCACGTGCCCGGAGGCACGTGACCAGGCGTTCTTCTTGGCGTACCCCTTTTCCGTGCAGGAGCATCGCGCATTTCAGCCGCGCCATTGTCCTGGGCATGCAGGTCTAGAATTGAGTCTTATTGTTCATCTCAAAGCAGTACCAGTGGTTTCCTAAGGGGCAGGCTGTGGTGGAATGATTGAGCCAAGATTAGTTCAGGACTCGATGCATTACTCGAATTAGTAAGCTAAGCCGACTGCATCCAGCTGAGCCAAGACGTTGGCTCAAGGGGCACATCTTGGTTCAGGGCGTGGGCGCTAGATTTTTCAGATATACTGACAGGAATCCGGCTCATTCAGGTGCCGGCCCGTTTTGCATGAGCTGGGTGCACGTAGCCCGGCGATGGGCTGGGTCACGTGACCAGACACTGTGAACTCGCGTCCGTCAAGCCTTCAGCCATTGAGTTCAAACAGCGCAGATATATGTATATATGCATTTGCGCAGCATATCGAGATTGTATAATTTTCAGTCATTTTCTCTACTTGTCTGATGTCTTGCCAAGGTATTGGATCTTACTGACATTTCTCTGTTCTGGATTTATTGCATCCAGGCTGAATACGTACAAGGTTTGTCGGAGACCAGCTAGTTTCCACAATAGGTTCATCAGACACGCATTTGAACCTGCATTCCTCTGTTTGTGCAGCTTCAAAAACTGCCTCTTTCAAAGCAGCAATGTCCGTTTTCAGATCAATGAGTCTGAAATCATCCTTCAGGAGTATCAATGCATGGTTATTGTTTTTGGAGCTCGCATGCTCAAAGTAAAGTACACTATGAAACATGGGGCATCCATTGATTGGAAAGTCGAGTACTGTAGCAAAACCTGCATCAAAGTGCTGCTCGGTCAAGTAGTCTCCTCTTCAAGTGTATGGATATGCTATCGAAGGCACCAGCTATTAACGTCCACATATACATCTGATCTTCTCGTTGCGAGCGCCTCACTGTAGGAAAAAAACAAGAGCAAATGATGAACTTTGTCGGCATTTTGGGATACCTTCCTTGCTCTCTTCGCAAAGACTCAAGTAGCCTTTCATGAATGCCAAGTTCTCTAAGGCTTGGCCCATAAGCACAAGCTCCTGTAACCGTACCAGTACATCACATCCAGCTGTGAGTCTCTGGGCCCGCTACGCCTTCAAATAAAGCTTGGAAGGTTTGGAGTTGTATTTATCACACCTCAAAGTAGCTAACTTGCCAAGCTTGAAACAGAGAGGAATAATTCCGAGATTCCAGTAAGGCGTGTACAAAACCTTTCCTGTCTTGGAAGTCTGTTATGAGCTGCGTATCCTGTTTTGTCCTGTTACTAGCCCTTATTACTTCCGTTCTGAGCCCGCCAAATCTTTGCCATGTGAGCGCATGCCGTTTATGGACAGCTATTTCTCCGGAGATCTTTGTCCCCTTTTGTGCCCCTTTTTTTGCTTCAAGGCTTGCATGGTTAGTCCCTTGTTTTGTTGAACTTTCTCCTCGATCAAAGAATACTTCACCCATTGCATGTTGGTGCCTGTACCTGTTACCACATCGAAACCGTGTCGGTAGAATTATCCCCGTCCAAACCTAGGACGAGCTACTTGAGCCTGATACAAACTAAGATCTCTGATTTATTGAATAAATAACCACTGGGTCAGGCCACCGTGTAAATTTTCAAAGCAGGAATTGCCCCAGCAGAGTGGTGCAGGCGTATACAGGTATACATTGCGCAGCTGGCCGCCCGTGTTCTCTGATGCATTTCTCGTATGATTCCTACATGTGGGTCGCCTCCCATGCACTGGTCTGCTGTTCGTATTAGGCGAGGCTCGGGCTTAGGCTTAAGCAACCGAGGCGCCATTTCAGTTAGGCAAAAAAAAGAGGGCGAATCAAAGTTGTCGTCGTGATTCTCTTTTAGAGACACGGAGCTTAGAATTCTAGCTCTGTCATCCGTAGACGGGAGCCCATTTGTGGCAAACTTTCTGGCTCAAGCCCAGGCGTAGTCACGTGCACAGAAGCTTCTTCGCCTTGCCCATCAGAACCACTGCGCATAGGTGTATTCTAGATGTGCCAGATAGCCGTGGTTTCCAGGCATTCGAATTCCATGTATCTACACAACGTGCCCGGTACATTACATTTTGCCTCACTCGTCATGATATATTAATGGGATTGTTTTTAGTACCTAAAAGAACCGTTTGAACATTGGTGCTGGGACATCGGCAAACCCTCGGTCTTTGTATTCGTTTTCACTGCTTGCAGGCGTCGCTGCCCCAAGCTTAGGCCTTTCCTGGTCAAATATTTCACTTTCCTTCGGAGATTTGGATGAGCGTCCACTAGAGGGGTAGGCGTTGCTCATAGCATAGTTTGTAGAGGAGTGAGGAAGTATACTTGGGTAGTGGTGGCTATGTAAATTTGCCGGGTTTGGTGTTGGAGTGAGCAAAACAGGCGTGTTTCGCCGACAAGGCCGAGAACCAACTTCGCCTTGGCTGGCCACAACGCGTGGTCGTTCTGCTAGCCTTTTTACGGACCTGGCTATCTCAACTCTCTCGTACTTGTACTCTCTTGGTGTCACTGGACTATTGCCGAATTGAGCTGAGCTGGGCGACGATACCAAGGGGGGCATGGAGTAGGTCTGGGTCAACAAAGGCGGCTGTTTGGGGATGTCCAAGGCTGGGATCGAGCTGGGGCTGACTATAAGGGAGAAAAGTTGCTGGGGCCCTTTATCAGCGAAAAGGTCCAAGAGAAAAGCGGGCGACTTGGCCACGGCGGAAACCAACAGCTTTCTAAGCATACTGCTTGCGAAATAGTCGGGGTTGCAGTCATTGACATCCACGCATTGGTTGGGCACCTGAAACCTCGGGTCTCTTCTCAGAAGCATGAAGGTTTGATTGATGAGATCAATTGTAGTCTTGGCCACTTGCGTGGGGCTGTAGCCGACTGTCTCGTACAGAAAGCAGGCGGCGTACGCGACAAATTGCTTTATGCGGCGGAATTCGTAGTCACAGGGCCTGGAGGCATTTGCAGCATCGTAGTTGGTGTTGAGCTCATCCAGGGAAATCAAAGAGTCGTCGATTCCTGGCTCCGTGAGGTTCCAGTCCAATGACACCATGATGGCGATTTCCATCTGGTGGAACATCTTGGAATTGTAGTTGCATCGGGAGCCACAGAGCCTGATTAGCTCTGTGACCCGGGGAAGCCTGTACCGCTGAGTGGGACCGTTGAATCTGGCGCCGGCGCCATACCCCAAGTCCAGGACTGAGCGGATTTCTGCTGGTGGTCGTTCGCTATGCATGTTGGCAAAGTGGCAATTTCCACCGTGGATTTTGGCGGCGATCCAGAGACACGTCGCCATAAGGAGCTGGCCATGTGGGAGCAACACTATTGCTTTCAGGCAGTAGCGGTCAAAGAGTCTCACCGCACGGCAAAAGACAAATGGGAGCACCTTCAACCGCACCAGCAATTTCAATCCAAAGTCCAAGAGCTTGAAGCGAATTGAAGGAGTGAGATACGGCTGGTGTGTGAGAAATTGGGCCAATGGCTTTGTCCGTTCAAGCGCCTCTTGCATCGCTTCGGTAACATCGTCCATATACTCATCGACAACAAGGGCATGGGTGCGGAGTTCAGACTCGTAGAGAGCCGCCAGGTATTTATATTGGTTGACGGTCACATTTTCGCCACGATAGGTGTCATGGATGAGGGGAACACTATCCTGGTGTCTATACTCAGGTGGGCTCATCAAAGTTTGTGTCATTGGGAAGATGGGTCTTAATAGCTGCAGAGTTTAGGGCGGTCCAAATATATAGCCGAGGAATATAGGCGATACGGTCTGTGCTTGGAGTTCCAAATCGAGCAGCGGTAAAAGTAGATAAACTTGAGCCAGTCCCGTTTTCAAAAAACAGCTTTTGAGAGGAAGTCGGTGGTTTCGAACCTTTAAATGTATGCTAGGGGCAACTAATTCGTCGTGGGCAACATGCAGAGTAAAAAAATGGACAACTAAATCCGCTCGGTCAGTGCTGCACATACAGCCCACGCGTGTGAAAAGAGTTTGCATGTGCGCCGAAAGAGGCATACGCGTAAGCGAGTGCAAAGCGGGAAAGTATTGACGCAGGTTCACAAGCCTCTCGAAATCGCGCATGTGTGCGCAGGAATTCTGGCCGCACATTCTCTGATATCATAATAGGGGCATTTTCTCGCCAAGTTTCTAGGGCGAACACCTGCCGGTCCATTGTATTCAAATTGAGGAGTCAAATCCCCCGCTGTCAAGAATACTCAGGTATACTATAAGTCTTGTCTTTCCTGTTTTATTTTTCTTGTCCTTGCTTTCACGCCTAGAAACGCTCCAGAATTTGGCCCAAATATGTATGGAGTACTACTCTAGACGACACACGCTTTCGAGAACGACTGAGAAAAGTTTTTGTCTTCAATGCAGCTTGGAATGTACAGTCCGAAACAGGAAGCTTCCTCTTTCGGAAGCGAGACTTATATGCACCCTGCCTTATCGCCAGGCGACCTCGGATAGTTTTTCGTGCATTGACTGATACGTGGCCAATGTTTTGAAAAGCCACAAATTCAAGCCAATCATGCCATTTTCTCCCACTTGAGTACTTTTGAGCTCAAAAGTTCCTCATTGTGTTTGCGGCTCGTCGAAGCTAATGTTTTCTTAAAAGAAGCTCGAGTTATATGCATACCACTCATGTTTAGAATGATGGTTATTCCACGTGGAGGGGAATACTCTCAGTCCCAATGCTCTTCTACATCATGAAAAACCCACAAAATAAAATTATGTCAAATCTTCCAAGCTTGCCTTGAAAGATGTCTCATTTAAGGCATTAAGCTTTTGTTTTGCGGGATGCTGAGTTTAAGCTATTCGTATTGCATTCAGGGGTCGTGGGACCAACCGCTTACTGTTCTCGTATATTCGCGAAAAGTTTATATGATGGAGATGACGGGCAAGGTACTGAAAAATTGGAAAAATATTGGGTGGCTGGCTAGTCATGCATCAGTAGCGAGCTGGTTTAATATTAATAGACACCACATGCTTTAAATAGAGGCATCATTTGCTCAAGAAGTGATCAGGTCGCTAGCGGGTACAGCACCAAGTGCTTATGTTAAAAAGATGTATGGGTGTTCATGACTCGTCAAGAACAGCGGACGATTCCCCGCAACACTCTTTCCTTTCATCTAGTTTGGCTTGAATTTTTGTTTTGAGTATACGAGGATTGCAATTCCTTGATCATTATATCGTGTATTCCATGGGCTGGCCATTGGAAGGAAAGATTCAAAACTGAGTAAGCGATGCAAACAACCCGAGTACCTTTTCCACCCCTATAACATAGCTCTTGGGAAACAGCTTCCCCAAAATCACCCGAATGCTTTTGCATTCTTTGACGTTGAATAGAAAGCCTTTTTGAGTGCTGGTGGGCCTGCTCTCATCTCAGAAAAGAACCTCGAATACAAATCGATTTATCTCTATTATTTTTTCAATCAAAATAGCGTCTTTTGAAATAATATCCGAACCATTCTGACAATTGAGTAAAAAATTTGTGGAATTCTAGGCCACCCTCTAAGAGTCGATTTACATTTGTTTCAAAGTTAATCTTTCTTAAATGAGAAAGTTTGACAGCATTGCAGGGACAGTCGAATGAGCGTCAATGTTGAGGTTCCCGTCCTCAAGAATTCCTTCGTTGATACACTCCTTGATGATGTGATCCCAATCGCTGACATAGACGAAGTATGTCTGTAAGACAGAAACAAAAAAGAGCGCAATGATCATGCCAAGCCATAGTCCAACAAGTTCCCACTTGAAGTAGAAGGCAAAGAAAAATGCACAAGGCAAGGCTATCAAGTAGTAAGAGACCAAGTTAAGAATACCGCCAATTTTTTGTCTACCCTGGCCACGCAAAATTCCTCCTGATACACACGCCAAGAAGTCGTTGATCTGGTAAACAGAACCTATTATTAAGACTGTGCTGGCAATATCCAAAACTTTTTTATCGCTGGTGTATAGAGATGCGAAGAAAGTTCTGAACGAAAATAGCACCACCGCATTGCACGACCCAAGAGCAAGAGCACAGTACATTGCTGCCTGGGATGCAGTTACAGCTGCCTTCTTTGACGCGGCGCCGATAAACCACGCAATTCTTGTGGACGCCGCTATTGAGAGCGCAAAAGGGATCTGATAAAGCAACACGCACGTGGTGGACACGATGGATTGTGCAGCCAAAACGTCAGTGCCAAAGGTAGAAGCCGTAAATGTAATGATCTCAAAAGCAAGCCATTCAGCCTCGACCATCAACACGCCAGGCACAGACAAGTTGATGATTTTGGTCCAGTTCCGGAAGAAGGTAGAGTCAAAAAGCGGTTCACGAGGGAGGCATTGGTAGCCATTGACGTACAAAGTGTATGCCAAAAGCATGATGCACATGAGCCAGTTTGTAATGACGACGGAGAGCGGGGCCCCGATGAAGCCAAGCCCAACACGCCTATCCCACACCAAGAGGTAATTCAATAATGCGTTGAGAGGGGCACAGAAGAGCAACACGTAGGTTGAGGCGTGGAAAATGCCCTGTGCCTGGAGAAAGTGCTTCAAGTTTTCGAAGATGATGAATCCCGGCAACCCTAAGGCCAACACCTGCAAGTAGCTGCTTGCCAAGTATGCCAATTCCGTCTTATCAGGCCCAACCAAGAACGACAAAACAGGCCTGGAGAGAAACACCCAGAGCACGAGCATCGGCACGTACAAGAGCATCAAGAGATATGTGCACCGCACGAAATGCAAGCCCACCGTGTTGTAGTCCTGCCGGCCATACGCCTGGGCACACAACGTGTCTAGACACGTGGACACACCCTGAATAATCGCATAGCCGCTGATGTTGGCTGTCATGGAAGACAATGAAACTGCAGCTAGCGCCGTCAGGCCCAAGCGGCCCACGGAAAACACCGACGCTACGGTGAGCGAGTACTGCAACAAGAAGGTGATCACCAAGGGCACGGAGTAGCGCATCAAAACGCGTGCCTCGTTGGCAAGCGAGGTCTCGGGTTCCTTGAGAATGGCACCCGAGTGCACCGACAAGATGTCATTGATGTCGGTGTGGTGGGTGTAGGCGGAGACGTTTGACCGCACACGGTAGAGCGATTCCGCCAAGTTAGCCCCCGACGGTTTTGGCTGCAAGGCGAAATGCCGTGGGATCTTGTTTGTGCCCACAGATGCAATCGACGCCCGGCGATTCTGTACATAGGCAACAATTTCCAGCTCGCCGATGTCAGAGAGTTCCGACGACCTCAGCACCGAGCGTAAAAGGTGACTGTGCTCATCCGAGCCGCGAGAGTTCATGATTGTTAGTAAGAGAAGATGTGGACTGAGGAGTGGTGGCAGGTGGTGTAGAGTAATGGAGGCGAGCAGAGGAATTTATATATGGAGCCGCTAAGCCCTGGTCTATGATGCTGCAAATACACAGTGTGTGTGTTGTTGTTGTTTTTTTTTTTTCAGTAAGCGTGGGGAATCGGGTAGCGGAATTTAGGGCGTCTAAGGCGGCAAGGCCAGGGCTCAGTTCAGGCGCCAATCTATCGGCGCGGGATCACGCTTTGTAATCCAGGCGGGAATCAAGAGTAAAAAGTCAAGAAAAAAAGTAGTAGAAAAAAGAGGCCAAGTGCGAATCAGCAAAGGACTGTACTGGGTGGACATGGCCACGTGACTTTTCGTGAAAACAAAAAAGAAATTGGGCAAAGCGGTGGGCATTCAAAAGCGTGTTGGGCCCACCCGCAGCCTGCCCATCATAGATTTTGCAGTACTCACGACGCGGCAGCAGTAAATCCCGCTCAAAAGAGAAAAAAAGCCCCGCAGCATTCCAAAAATAACTCATAATGATGAGCAATGCCATGAATGACATTCAAGTGTGGCTTTTGAATTTCTCAGCAACAATCTAAATTTAGCCTGGGACGTCAATCAAACCTGATCCACGACTGATATGGGCCGTGCCTGAAACCATCTTATAGTCCGGCACATAAGGCGAATTTACGACAGTCTGCGGAAACGCCTGCTGGATTCGGGAAGCCGATCTGTAAAGGTGTGGCCAAATTAACAGCTGCAAGCTCAATAAGTCAAAAAAACCGTTTTTCAGCATAAAAAACAGAATCATGGTAGACACCTTTAAAAGCATTTCATGGAAATCAGTGGCGTGTTGTGTTAATGAAGACATTCTAGCTCGACAGCATACGAGTGTCTTCGACATGTCAAGTCACGTGCGTCCCGTTGTGACGCTATGCTAATGGGTGCAAATTGTCATGCTTGTCATGACCTCGTTCGCGATGGGGAATAATGACAATACATAGGGGAGTTCTTCGTTTTTTACTCTAATCAAAGGATTGCTCGGAAATTCTTTTTTTTGCTTAAACAGAAATGTGAACACTAGCCTGTCTTTTTTGTCTTTACGTGAACTGGGTATCAGCAGTAGTCAGGTGTCTTGAAAAGTTTAACGTCTTTCACAGCCAGGCAAAGTCAAGTCATGCAGTACTGGCTTGTTCCCAAGATTAATCAAGCACGTGCAAGCGAGGTGGAATCTAAAGACTTTGCTCGCGTTTTTGGGTGTTTGGGAAAGTGTACGACACCGTTTCGCCCATATATCCGCTAGTCATCAGAGGACCATGTTCAAAAGTTCGTCTACATTTCACATGCTGACCCAGCTCACACGCAAACTTCTGTATTTGAAATAATCGGTTGAACGCGTGGGCCACACAAAAGACTGGATAATACTTGTAGAATGAACTAAGCCAACCCCGCTAATCGTGAAATTCATACATTCCAATGCAAATGTTGGCAATTTGTTACAGGAAATTCTATTCCAGCCGGTTTGTTTGAGTAGATGCACTACAGAATGGCTGCATTCGTACAGTGGCCGGAACAAGCACAGCTCTCTGGCCCCAAAGTCGGAGTGAAAGGAAATCAGCAAAAGCCACGGTATATCTATATGAGGTCTATAAGCCAGTGATCTCCTAGAACTTGCCCTGGGCCAAGTTCTTGAGCATATCTCTTGCCGTGAAGTACACGGTCCTGTAGAACGAATGGAAGTCGAGCGTCAGGCTCGCCACGGATACAAAGCCAAAGGGCAACATGGCAGGAATCCAGCCCTGGGCCAATTCAAGTGCAAAGCCGCCACTGGGCATGGCGTACTGCTTCACGTGGCCTTTCTTCAAGTGGTGCTGGTCGCCTGGATAGAAGATTTCGGGCGTGAGTGAACAGGGGTCCGCCGCCAGTTGGTGGCCCGTCAAAATCGTGAAGTAGTCGTCTGCATAGTGCACACCCGTGTGGCCCTCGGTGCCCACGGCAGTGCCAAAGAAAATCAAGTACTCACTGATGGAGGCGTGTAAAATGAACATTGTTCCCATGGCCCCTCCGGCATTGTTGTACACCCAATCGTCGAAGTTCAAGTCATTGATGAGCCCAGGATACGCACGCTGGATGCGGGGCGCCAAATCGGTCATAATCTGAGTGGCGTTGCCGTTTGGATGAGCCTGCAAAGTTTCCTGGACTAGGTCCTGGAGCACCTGCTTATCGAAGCGGAAGTGGGCCGGGAGCCACGTCTGGAAACTGGCCTCGAGCACTGCATACACGGCCACGAGAATGGTCACTAGCTTGATCCACATACTGGAGGCGTTACAAAAGCTGGTGAACTAAGAGAACTTGGGAGGAAGAAAGAACGGGCTGCTCGTATAGGAATGGCGTATGCGGGTCGGAGCGAGCGCGATGCTGGATCCTGCAGCTGGGCGGGCCGATACTAATAAACATAGCGGTAAAAATGGAGACTTTCCACAAAAAGCGGGGGTTTGGGCGAGGTGTCTTTTCTGGATTTTGCTTGAAAGTCTGAATAGGCGGGTGATTGTTGGTTGTGGACGAGCGAGAGGTGAATTTTTGTGCTTTTTTGGGTTGATGACTTTTTGCCAATTATTGAATTTTGTGACGATTATTGCGACGAGTTTTTAGAATCACTGAAATTTTAGGGCCCGTGTAAACTAGACAATTCAGACTTTGGCTGCTTTTATGTTGTTTCGAAGAGATCCTTATTTTTCTAGGGTAGCAAATCCGTTGTCTGTAGCCCAAAATTTGGCTCGATCAATAAATTGCCACGAGCTTAGAACCTTGAGTTTTCGCACCTATTAGTAGCCACAAGTGTGTTAGGTGTTTTTCGGCCGTCTGAGCCTTCATAACAGGTATGATTTTCTCCTTGGTTTCACTGCCGAAACCCTCTGCAATGACGCAATTTTTTCGGGCTCTAGAATAGAAGCTAAGAAGCTGAAAATACAAAGTCTTCGTGAAATTCATATTGTTGTGAGGCCTATTATGACTGTAAGGAGACTGAACAGATGTTAATGAGGGTTTAGTTTTAATTGTTATATATGCTGAAACCAAATGGACTGAATTAATGAATCGGGCAACTCGGTGTGTTAGTTTAAAAGGTCAATAGATGAAAGACATTGCGAGAAAACGTGTATCTGAGCCTTCTGTCCAGTTTTTTTACTTTCCAGTCCAAATTGCCAAAGCTCGCGGCATTTTGATACCCATTGGTAAGATAGTACAAACATCTTGCTAGTCTCGAGAAGAGTCTTCCTTTACTGCTAAGAGAGCTCAGTGTTCCTGGATTGAAATTAAAGAGACTGGTTGACCGCATGACTAGCGAAGTCATGGCATATTTCTGTTGTTCAATTGAAAGTCCTTATTGATTTTTTAAGTTGAGCGCAGCTTCATTGAAAAAGTTCGAGAGCAAATACATACAAAACTTGAAATCGGGTACAAGGGTGGTCATGATAACGTGCCATGTCTTTCCATAGAAAAAAGTTCATTGCCTTGGTTTTTGAATTTTCCTCTCACTTTCCCAACATCCAAAGTCAATATTTACTCAGTTATTCATACAAGCATCTAACAAGTGACTGGCCCTTTAGCTGCTTCGTGTATATGTCTGCGAGAGAAGAGGTACTTTCATGAGTTCCAGTAGGTGCATAATAGAAAGTCCCAAAAGCTGAGCCAGCACCCAGAAAAGCTGGAATTTTTCTCCACAAATACAGGTACGGGAAAGTTATATCTGCCTGAGACCCGAAAGCGTTCCAAATACCTGACTCTGCGAGAAATTGTAATTGCAGTGTTAACTGATTTCATAAATGGAAGATAGCCTCCTCAACTAAAAAAAAATCCTGAAACTCCTGATGTGAGAGTTCCAAACCCATAAGGCTATGTTGCTTGCTCCATAATCGCTCTCTTACTTGCAAGTCCACATTTTTTTTAAACGCTCCTAACTTGGCAGTCGTATATTGCGTACTAGCTTTTGAGCTCGCCCTTTTCAGACAGGGTATGGTCTTAGTACTGATTGAGAAAACTAAACTTTCTGTAAACCACCCATTTCTAGTTCTTACTAACACGATCTTCACATTTAGTAGCTGCTTCTTTGAGTCTAGCACATTATCTTAGACTACTCAGATATAATGACGGTGGGTTCAATTCGAATGGGCTCAGAGTGATCTCTCATGCCTAAAAAAGACAGCTTCAATTAAAAAAGATTTTGCAAAACTTCAAGCCCCTACAGAAGACCAGTAGACACTCACGTGGCGTATTGAAGCATCCAACGTGGAACATTCAAACCAGGAGATCTATTATTCGAGCCCATCACGTGACCAGATACAATCACCCGGATCTACCGACCTGGATACTATCAAGTCTACATGTTTAAAAACCATACCAGGGTACACACAACAACCGAACATGTCCTTTTGTCTCAATCGGGCCGGTCCTGAGTTAATAGCGGCAATTTCAAAAACACAGGATGCAGACTCAATCCTCCAGCTTTTCCAGGATTTTCTCAATGAGCTCCCGAATCCATACCCCGATTTGGAGAAGCTTGTATCTTCTTTGAAGCTGGCGTCCACACATGTCCAGATGCCACTCGTCCGGCTTCTAGAGGCGGAGCTTTTGCTTTATTTTTCCGCAGGTCAAATGGACACCGAAAAAGTCGAGGAGATCTTCAAAGAGCTCTCGTATCTTTCGACCACGAACTCTTTGAACCCAGGGTCCTCAACAGCGCTTACACGGGTCAAGTACAATGATCTACACGTGGATTACCAGCATATTTTATCTTCCAAAGCAAAGCGCTTGCGGCTAGTGGACGTCCTCACGAAAAAGATCAACATTCTTTCGTTGCTTCCCGATTCCAGCGGCGGCGACCACGTGAGAGCCCACGTTCAACGCAAGATCCTTGTATACTTCTTACTCTGTGACTCTGACTACAGGAAAAAAGGCGTTTTGAAGTACTTGGTCGATGAGGGGGTACTGGGACCAGCAATGTCGCCGGAAATTGCTTCTTTCTGGTCCTGCCAAGATAAGCTTGTGCACATGGAGGAGTTTGAGAAATTGATCCGCCACTTGAAGGTGTGCTTCTACCCCATCCGTGTGATTGATCAACGGCACGGACACACGCTATTGGAGAACCACTTGGACTTCTGCCTAAGTAAGCTTCCCCGCTACTACAGCACGATAAGCCTTCCGCGTATCCAGCGTTTGCTTCTTGGGTCAGAGAGCAGGGTCGACATAGAAGACGTGCTTTTCAAAATGGTCACTTGCAACAAATTCGCGCATGAGGTCACCATCAACCAGATATCCGGGTATGTGTATTTTGGCGAGAAGTGCCAGAAGTATGGCGAGTTCGACACCCACGTGAAAAAAGTGTGTGATGCCGTGGACCTTATAACGGGCCTCCAGGCCACCGCAGAGAAGTAGCTGTTTCTGGATTGCAATGGTGCGTTTTGGCATGTCTGAGCCAATCTGCCTATTGGTCGAACCTGCCACACTCCACCAGCCAATCTGCCTATTGATCGTACTTACCAAACTCCGCCAACCAGTACTGTCTTAACACGGGCCCTTTCTTGCCGAGCACAGTGATGTGCTGGGCCTCGGATTCCGACAACTCGAAGTCAAAGAGATCCAAGAACTGCACGATCCGGTCCTCCTTGGACGAGGTGGTCACAGGCAATATGCCCCTCTGCAAGACCCAGCGCAACAAGACCTGGGCCGGCGTCTTGTGATGGGTGTCGGCCAATTGCTGCAAGTAGTCGGAAAGCTCGCCGGCTGGGCCCTTGGTGATGGGGCCCAAGGGCGAGTAGGCCTCCACGAGAATGCCGTTCTGCTGCGAAAACTCCACTATGCCCGGGGTCTGATTCTGAAGCAGCGCGTTGTATTCGATCTGGTTGACCACGGGCCTGATTCGCGCGATCTTCAAGATCTCTTGCAAATCCTCCACGCGGAAGTTGGACACGCCAATGGACCTGGCCAAGCCCTCGTCCACAATCTTCTCCATGGATCTCCAGGCCTCGGCCAAGTCGAACCCGTGCGCCGCCTTGGCCACGAAGGGCGAATGGAGCAAGTACAAGTCCACATAGCCGGTCTTCATTTGCGTGGCCAACTGGTGTTTCAAGGAGTCGTAGGGCAAGCCGTGCGGCGAAAACACGCTGTGGCCCGCGTCGCCCACCAGGAACTTGTTGGTGATGTATAGCTTGGCACGGTCTGCGCCGGCAATGGCCGCGCCGAGCTCCGCGTCGGTGTTGTAGATCTCTGCGCCGTCGATGTGCACAAATCCCTTTTCAAGGGCGAGTTGCAAAGTTTGGACCAACCGCTGGTCCTCGTCGTTACGGCCGTACTTGAACCAGGCGGTGCCCAAGCCGTACGCCACGGCTGGGATCTTGTGGCCGTCGGCCAATTGGAAGCGCGAGCCTTGCAAGGACATGGTGCGAAAAAATGGGCCAGCTTTGAGGAATCTGCGGCGCGCGGTGGGGTAACACGGGAGCAGCCAAAAAAAGAGGTTTGATGTTTCCGGCGCCAGCGCTTGCTATAGCGAACCAAAAAAAAAGAGACACGAAAACTGAAACCGGGGCTAGACGGCAAATCCAATCGCAGGGAGAAGTGGGGAAAAAGAGGCGGCCTGGTCAGCGGGGGAATCCCAGAGTTTATATAGGGTACGGGGCCGGTGTTGAGAGGAAAGGGGTTAAACTTCCGTGGCCTTGTGCAGAAGGACGGGGAGCTTACTAAGGGTGTCCGGGTGTTTGAAAAAGGAGTAGCGGAATTTGGGAGGCCCATTTCCGCGCGGGCGCGAGGACCGCCATCTCCCCCTAGACCCGAGATTTACGAGCAGCCACGTTTCTTGGCTGGGCCCCAGACCACGTCGAGCCCCGGAAATCCCAGCAAGAGCACCTTGCCAAGAGGATGCCCGTGCCCAGATAAAGCCACTGCTGCTGCCCGAAGCAGGCCGCGCGGAGATACAAGCGAGCGCGTTTCGCAGCCGGGTGGTCTCTTGATCTATGACATAATAAATTATGAGTAATTATACAGTGGTGGCCTCGCGCAGGAGCAGGACCATGTCTCCCACGCTAGCATGAAAAAAAAATAAGCGTTGTGTGAGCAGCCGAGGGGGATGCGCTGCGGGCCCCGGCCGCGGATGAATATGCATAGAAAGAGTCTGGGGGCCGGCGCTATGCGCTGAGTGCGCCGCGGAGCAACTGGTGTCGTGGCTGTCGAGTAAACACGCTCCGGGACATGCAGGTCTGGGGGCAGCTAGTACAACCCCAGGCCGAGCTGCAACAAGGACTTGGCCACGGAGAAGCTGTTGGGCGTGCCGATGCCGTTGCCAAAGCTGTTGTGGCGCAACGGCGAGGAGCCCAAAATGTCGGCCTTTCTTTTGAGCAGGCCGCCGCCGCTCTCGTGGACGGTCTCGTCGATGGTCTCGTCGCTGTTGGACGCCGCGTGCGCAGCGCCCATCTGCAGCAAGGCGCGGCTGGCGGCCTTGATGGGCGTGCGCAAGATCTTGTTGACGGGCGGGAGCCGCTGCAGGTGCGTGCTGGTGAGCGGGAGCTGGTGGGAGTATGCGTTGTAGAAGGCCGACAGCGGCTTGATGTGGTAGAGCTTCATGCTGGCGGCCGCGGCGGGTTCGGCGGGGGCGGCCCGCGGAGCCGGCTGCGGGCGCTGCAAGTTGACGTTGGCCGACTCCGAGAACACGGGCAGCAGCCGCAACAGCGTCAGCAGCCGCAGCGGCTTCGAGACGCGGAAGGTGGGCGCCGGAGCCATGGCCGCGTCGCGGCCCAGCCTCAACTTGTAGACCGCCAACTGCAAGCGGAGCTTCAACTTGGTGGCGGCCAAGTCGGCCTTGACGTTCTTGCTGTTGGTGATTTTGTACTCGGAGAAGCTGTCCATTTTGCGGGCGCGGGCGGCGCCGGACAAGGCGCTGGCGCGGGGGCCGGCGGGCGCCAAGGAGGTCATGGACTTGACGAGGCCGAGTTTGGGCGTGAGGCCCGGCGTCAAGGGCAAGCCGGGCGCGGTGGTGGGGTGGCGCGTCTTGAGCGTGTGGAGCGGCGACGCGACGTTCACGTTGATGGGTGCCAAGGCCACGCGCTTGGAGGGCGTGGACGAGACGGGCATGGGGCGTGTATGTGCGGGGTGTGCTGGGTGTGTTTGGGAGCCGTTGTTGGGAGCCGTTGTGTTTGTGTTTGTGTTGGGCGGAGCTGTGGCGGGCGTCGTCTTTTGAGGCCGCTTGTGAATGGCGGGGCTCGGAGGCTCTAGGGTCTGAGGCTCTATGGCACGCGAGGCTCTATGGCACGTGAGGCTTGAGGCACGTGAGACCTGAGGCGTCTGGGGATCTGTGGCACGTGAGGACCTCTGGTGAGGGGCACGGATGCAAGGGCGGCAAGGCCACGAAAACACAAATACAAATGCTGGGGACGGGCGGCAATCGGACGGGCCGCAACACACTCGGCGCGTGGGAACAGCAGGGCTGATCTCTGGCAAAGACACGTGCTGTTTGGGCGCTCTGGGTGGGCGGCTATTTTTCGGCTCGAGGCGGGCGGCAAGGCTGGCGGCAAGTCACGTCTTGTTTTGCAAAGGCCGAGGCACGAGGGCAGGGCTATGGGGCAGGCGTATGGTGGGGCGTGCAAAACAGACGGGGGTGTCAGCAGACGGGAGGGTCAGCAGACGGAAGTGGTCTAAGAAAAAGAGAGAAAAACGAGGGGGAGTGTTTTGTTGATCTTGCGAGAAAAGAGCGACGCGGCGGGCGAGTCGTGGCCCTATGCTGGAGGCAGCGGCTGGTGCGTTTATGAGCGCCGGGAGCCAGGGCCAGGGCCGCCCGAAACATGCGAAACCAAAACAGCGCGAGGCCCGGCGCACGGAGCGCGTCTGGCGGGCGCGGCGCTGTGTGCAGGCGCGCCGACGGTCTGTTTTGCCTGGCGCGTCGCACCGCGGGCCCCGAGACGGCGCGGCCCCGGGCTCGCGTGCGGAGATGGCCCCAGAATAGGGCGGTCGGATCGTGGCGCCTACTTTATTTTGTGGTCGATCTGGTTGGGTTGAATGTTAATTGGGTTGATGATGTTGTTTGCGTTGTTTGTGTTGTTTGCGTTGTTTGTGTTGTTTCCCCAATCTCTTTTCCTAATCCTTTTCTTTTTTCCTTCTTTCTGTCTCCCTCAATTTCTACCCCTGTCTTCTTCTATTCCCTTGTCTTTTATCGTCTGATCTTCTTTCTCTTCTTGGTTCTGTTTTTGGATGGTGGGAAACGCGCGCTGCTGGACGTGGCGGGACGGGCGGGTTTCGTGTCCTTGGCTCTGGCATGGGTTGGGTGTGGTGGCCCTAGAAGACGCCTTACGCGCACCGCGCGCCGCCCACCCCATGTAGCACCGTGTTTTTGACCATGTGTAGAAGCATGTCGAGAAGGAACATAAACACAGCCAACCTTGGACTTCGCGGCCCCCATCTTCTCTGGGAATTGGGAGCCAGATAGGCATGACGTGCCGGTGGAAACCAGGTGGAAACCAGGCGGAAACACCACATGGCACATGGCACACTGGCACACCTGACCTGGCCCTGTGGTTGGAGCCAGGGCCGCGCGGGCCAGTCTGCGCGGCCCTAGTCAGTGGGGCCTGCGGGGCACGGGGCCAGTATCCAGGCGCCTTTTCGCGCTGGCCGCACTGGTCCAAAGCTGACGGGGCACTAAGCCCAGCCGCCGAGCCGAGTACTCTATTTGTCGCTTCCGCCATTCGGGTGGGGTTTCCGCGCAGCGTCGAGCGGGGACAGCGGCCGACCAAGCTCCAGTATATACATAGAGATATAGATAGATAATTCTATACTTACATATAATAATATCTGAGTACTTCCTCAGACTCATATGTATATAGAAACACTGATGAATTACACTATATTACATACACTATATTACATACACTATATTACATACACTATATTACATACACTATATTACATACACTATATTACATACACTATATTACATACACTATATTACATACACTATATTACATACACTATATTACATACACTATATTACATACACTGAGAAATCACATACACTGAGATATCACATACACCGCGATATCACATACACTGAGATATTACTTACACCGACCTACTACTTACACTGAGATATCATTCCCACCGATATACTTACACCGATATAAAACATCTACACAGACTATATGTATACATGTAAAACGGACAGCCCAACTTTAGGCCACACCTTGGCGTCTACTTGTACACAACACGCCTGGAAGAGTTTGGAGGCGGCGGGATTTCTTGGAGAGGCCTAGTATTTCATTCCGGGCTCCTGGCGCAAGTGTGGTCCATGGGGCAAACCGGCGCGACGCATGGGCAGGGCCCGTTTCTTTTTTTTTGCCCGCTTCTGTCACTGCTCTCTTGCCTTTCGGGGCATTTGCGAAGTCGTGCCAATCGAGCTGCGTCTTGTTTGTTGTGGTTTGCGTTTAGTGCTCGCTGTCGTCTTTCCGAAAACCCCGACTTTTGTTTATCGCTTCGCGTCATCGTGCAGGCCGCGCGCCTTTCAAGTGTAGAAATAGCACCCGCTGCAGAATCCACTAGGAGCGAGGATTTCACTAGCTCCCCGAAATCGGATGCCTCCCGTCATCACAATGCCTCCTATAAATCTCACAAGCTCCATCCCAAATGCTCCATCCCAAAAGCTCACGCGAAATCCATTTCCAGGGCCTGGTGGAGTTAGGGCGGGGGAGGAGTGTCCAAACCAGGGAATACCATGCGCCGCGAGGCAGCGTGGAGAAGCCCGGGTGCAGGGCACAATTTTGTTTTCCCTATTGATCAAACCCGACTTTCGGAGACTGGCGGATTTCCAAAAAAATACGAAAAAAAAACGACTGCCGTGGGGACTAGCTGTCGCCCCAGTTCATATGGGTCGGCCAGCCAGTGCCATGGCACACGTGGAAATTGGAGTCCTCTACTAAAATCGCAAGTTCCTTCTTCCAAAAGATTCCCAATAATCAACCCGCGTGGATCTCCCTGATTTCCAAATTGCGCGAGCTAGCCTCGGCTCTGTGGTTTCTGCTTTGGGTGTATTTATTGACGAATGGCTGAAGCCCGCTTGGGCGCGTCTCGCTTAACTGCAGATTCTGCTCGTCATGCGTCATGCCGCAGGCCGCCTGCCTCAAGTACGAACTCATCTCGGGGCCGTGTCCGGGTCAGGGCGTGGTCCGTTTTTTATTGTGCCATACTGAAAACCTGAAACACTGCCCAGATGTCGTTTGCTGCTCATGCTTTGGGCAGGAATTCCGACTCACCTGCCCGTCAGCCTCAGGATTTCTGATATACGTTTGTTTCGCAGGGCCCACTGCTTATCTCCGCCTCTGACCCAACGTCCCGAAGCAAATCTGTCAACTTCGCATCCCATTATTCTCACGCTGTTTGGCATTCTGATATTGGGTTCTGGTATTGGATTTCTGGTCTTTTACTTGCTTGCGGAAAACGGGCCTGAGAGACCAGCGCCCGGGACCGCACATCCAATTTCCTTTCATCGAACCTCTTTCCTGGGGCCTGTAAAAAGCGCAATTGTCAGCCATACTCGAACCAGTCTTGGATTTCCGGTTTTCCACGCGTGCTTTGTGGTATGGAAAAAAAACTTGTAGCGACTGACTATCCGCGTCTTCTTGTGTTTCCAATTAGCTATGTGTAGAAAGGCGGCTGCCAAGTTGAAAGCCGCCTGTATCTTTCGGATGCGCTGCCGGCAATCAAGAAATATATATTTGGATGGGCATTCAAGCTGCGTGTTTTCAACCTGGAATTTGCAGTGATAACTTCCAGTCCCAACGTCCAGTCAATGGGGCGCCTTTGGAGAAATCAAGGTTGCCAGCATTACGCAGATGGTACCGGTCACAAGTCGCGTATGAGTCTGATCTCACGCTCCATGCGTCGGAAAGCGTGTTCCCAGTCATCTGTGTCCTTTGCATTAGTGCGTAGCTATAAAGTCTTGAGATTTTCGTACATATGTCTCCCTTAAACTTGTCTCGTGAACTTCATTACTTGAAACGCTTCATAAGCAGTTTGATTGAGAAACGTGGAGCTGGTGAATGAGATTTTGACTTTCGCTCCGATGTGATGACAGGAATGTCCTCGCTGGGGCTCTGGGAGCTGATAACAGTCATGGTTACTGAATTGCAAGCACGACGGGAGAAACCAGAAAAGGCGTTTTTGTGGTTGCACAGGTAAAGCTAGGTTTCGGGACTGAGAATTTTATAGAAGAGAAAAAGTCTGAAGGATGCTGTTGGTGTTTTTCATCCGGAAGCCTCGTGGCAATCATGGATGTTCATTGAAAAAGCCTGGTGGTTAAGGATTATGTAATCTTAAAGAATCCTGAAGGGTGTCGGGAATGCACTTGGTTTACAAGAGGCCTGCTAGCTTTTGGCAAATGACATCGGTTATAAATGAGTGTCCCGGGCTAAGTGAAAGAATCGCCAATGTGATGGGACCATTATCAGTAATATTACCAGCTACATAATATGCCGTGGCACATAGACTCGGTTAGATCCGACGACTCGCTTGCCAGCACCAACCACTTTTGCTCTATCAAATAATCTATAGCCTAAGACGATCAAATTGCTTTTGTTATTGCTTTTCTAACAGCGGCTCTGAATTGTATATCAAGGTATCTTGGGCGCCTTATGACCATTTGGACCCTGCCGATCTTAATTAAACCTCTAGCGTGTACTTTCTCAAGTCCATAGCGTCTATATTGGATGTTCTTGTACCCCTAAAGCCTTGGATCACAAGCGTATTTATAAGGCGACTAGAAATATATATACAACGGTATAATAGCAGGCGATACTATTTAGTTACTAAACATGACGCAAGATATTCATGTTCACCTCCGTATTTACTTTCTGTGACATGAACAGCTATCGAAGCGATCTTAATATTGCACCGGTACTATCTTAATGTTGCATCAGCATTCATGTAAATGTATATCAGGTATAAATCTAAATGCTTGGCCAGTTATGATCTTGGTGTTGCTGCTATACTGAAACTAAATCATGTATCGGTCCAAAAGTCGCATCAGTGTTGATCATAGTGCTTCATCGGTATTGAGATTTTTTGTGACAGATATTGATCTTAGTTTCGCCTTGCCTAATCTTAGAGGTAATTGATATTAAAGTTATGAAATTTGTTCATCTTAGTTTTACATGGCTGGTAATCTCCAACCATGACAGGAAATGCTCTTAATGTTATATCAGGAACTTATATCATTAATATTCGATGTCGCAATGGCATTGGTTGTAAGGTTATATCAGGGATTAAGTTTAAAGGCGCATCTATATCGATCTTAAAGTCGCATCGGTATTGATTTTGAGTTATATCAGGTATTTAATTCTCCTCTAACGTGACAAGTTAGGGAGCCTCACTCTTACTCTCCGCCCGAAAGCCGGAGTCTTAAGGCTCATCAAAATGCTCTTGGTCATGAAACATAAAAACGTATCAAGACAAGACAGAATCAAATATTGTGTTATTAATGTGTTTTATTACGTTTCCGAATGATTATGAAGGGACAAATCTTCTTTGCTGCTTACATCAAAGACTACAAAAATATGTGTCAGGACTCGGTCTGCGAAATTACCCTAATGGAGGTGCGGCAAGTAGTGAGACAGGCACTTGAATAAAACAAAGATACAAGGTGACAAGAAAAGGAAGACGAAAACAAGAAGGCGAAATTAAAAAGGACCAGTGACAGAGGAGGAAGTAAAAGAAGACGAAATCAAAGAAGACGAAATAAAAGAAGACGAAACGAAATCAGAACAAAACAATACAACAGACAATTCCCTTTGCTATCAGCATATATTGGAACGCGACTTCGGTTTTATTCTTGATTTGTATTTTAGTAAGTGATTACTACGGACCCAGCTTAGAGTGGTCACTGAATCCTTGAGGAAAAAGCTTTATTTCAACATCGACCTCGACCTCTGCCCATATTTATACCTTCCTTGAGTAACAAACACGTGGCTTTCTCATCGCCATTGTTGCAGCCACATATTGGTCATGTGACTCACTTATGCATACAACAGCTGCAACACTCTCAAACCCTTATAAAAACCTCCAACACCCCCAACACCCCCAGAATTCCCAGACCCCAAAACCGCCAAAGCCGCCAAAACCACAATACCCCTAAAGCACCCGAGCCCTGGATCTCCAAGAACCTCCAAAAAAAAAAAAACTCCAAACCACTCCATACCACCAGATCAAAACCCAAGGGCCCCACCAAATCCACCCCGCCCTCACCCGGCCTGTATGCACGCCCGCGATAAGCCGCGCTATCGCACCGGCCCCTCGGCCTCCACAGGTGTCCTCATACCTACTACTTCTTTCTTTCTGGCCTCTTGCAAACACCCCCTTTTTCCACGCTTTAGCCATGAATATCCGCAGCAAGTTGTCCTCGCTCCGCGAGTACCTCACGCCGCTCAACTACGAGTCCAATTTCCGCAAAACGGGCGAGATCCTGCCGGACGAGTTTGTCTTGGCCGGCGACTATTTGGTGCTGAAGTTCCCCACATGGGCCTGGGGCTCGTGTCCCAAGCCGCTCCAAAAAAAGTTCTTGCCGCCGGAAAAACAGTTCCTTGTGACGCGGCACGTGCCCTCGTACCGGCGGTACGCCGCGTTTGTACCCGAAACGGGCGACGGCGCGGGCGGCAAAACCGACGCTGCTGCCGCCGACGCAGACTCGGACGCCGAGTGGGTGCCCCTGGTGAGCCAGCCGGTGGGTGCCGCCGTGCCGCTGGGCCCGGCCACACACGACCTCGACGCCTTGATGGACGACGCCGCCGAGGACGCCGCATCACGTGACGACATCGACGACTACACCCACATCTCCTCCGGCGGCCCGGGCCTCCGCCGCTACGACTTGTACATTGCGTACCTGACGTCGTACCGCGTGCCGAAGGTGTACCTTGTCGGCTTCGACGACGGCGGCATCCCGCTCTTGCCGCCGCAGATGTACGAGGACATTTCCGGCGACCACAAGGACAAAACCGCCACCATCGAGGCCTTGCCGATGGCCCACAGCACCATGGCCGTGTCCATCCACCCCTGCAAGCACGCGGCGGTCATGCGCGTGTTCATGGAGCACGCACGGCTGAAAAAGGCTGCTCCGCAGCCCGCCGCTGCGACGGCCCGGGCCCCGGACGGCCGCGACTTGCTGGCAAGTGGCACGCCCGAGCCCGTGGACATGGACGATGGCGGCATCCGCGTGGACCAGTACATTGTGATTTTCCTCAAGTTCATAGCGAGCGTCACCCCGGGGATCGAGTACGACTTCACCATGGACGCGCTCTAGCGGCAGCGTAGATGTGCGTGCTTGCTGCCTTCGGTGCAGCCCCAAGGCTGTGGGCGAAAGGCTACTGTGTATGAGCGTAGCGGACGGCACTGGTGAATGTGTCTGGGTCGATGGCACTGGTGGGATGTACAGGAGGTCGGTACTGAGATGTCTGGGTGGATGGCACTGGTGGGTATACAGGGTAATGGCACCGGTGGGTATACAGGGTGATGGCACCGGTGGGATGTCCAGGAGGACGGTACTGGTGGGTATACAGGGGGCTGTTTGCTTCCGGTGTTGCTTCTGGATGTTCCCGGCAAATGAAGGCCCGAGCATTGCTTAGCACATCCGGGTTGAGGTGGTCGAAGCCACACGTGCGAGACTGAGCCGGCTTTCCCTGACCCTTCATCCGGATGAGGTGGCAGTGTTGCTCGCGGACTTTTGATGCTCTGCTACTGGTATCCGAGCGAGCGCTGGAAGAATCACGGAGAACCCCGCTACGCATGGAACTGGCTTCTGGTGGACGAGCCACTGATCAATACTACCTGTCCTTTTTACGCGGCCGAGCAACAGGAGTTGTGTCTACAAGCGTAAATGCTACCTGTGCACGCTGCTATTTGACACGGGTGTAACCCGATGTGGTGGCTTCTGTAGTAGATTGGGCAACCCGCAGAACCGAATGCCGCAAAACATGTGGTAGGCCAGGTGCTATTGCTTCTTATTGCCTATCTGGTGTTGTAGTGGTCTGGGCACATAGCAAGTCAGGAGAAACATAGCGTGATCTAAAAAGCGTGTTCACAAGGAAGTTATACTTGGCTCTTTTCACACTCGGCCCTTTCTTTCTCAGAGACAGACTTGGAATTGGTGAAGCCCGGGGTTTGACCCTGCGCATTTTGGGCATCTGTCTTTTCTATTCATTGACGTGGAAGCTCTGACTGTGCCGACAAAAACATGTAGTACAGATGGGAAACGCTTCTGGATCAAGTACACCTTTTAAGATCTCATCACAAATTTTATGGTAGACTCGCTTGAAGGTCCAAGGCTGATGTAACATTTGCTTCAAAAAGTATTGTCTCCCTTTTGGGTAATCAGTTCAATCTATAGTGGCAAAGAACGCTGCCATCGTGAGTCATATATAGACCCAAGTGTTGCAAGAAAAGAGTCAAATACACCGGATGACTGGAGGCGGTGTGTGGAAATGGGAAAACACAATCCGCGTCGTCAGCTTCAATTCTCGCCAAAGAGTCATGGAACCCATTTCATGTCATTCATGTCATTCATGTTTCTCATGAGATTCTTGCTAAACATGCTTGAGACATTCAATCCACATACAAGCTCGTGGCAACCTCCAACCTCAAGGTGAATGTGCTCGAACATCATCAGACTCCAAAGAAATTGAGTTTGTTGATCTAGACCCCAACAACAACCGACCTTAAACACAGTATTGAATTGTTAAGCTAAACCAAGTCGGAGCAACAAGTAGCCTTTTCTCTTTCTTGCTTGATTAGTTTCATTTGGAGAAAGGGATAAGACAATCAAGTCGTTCTACAAAAGCCATCAACCAACTCCCAGGATGTACTCACTTTCTCTTTATTTTTTTGATTTATTTGTCATTTTTGGTGGACACATCACGGGAACGCAAATGAAATTTCAAGACAAACCTTTTCTTTCAAAGAAATATCATATTATAGGGTGTCACTGGAGGGATATAAAACCCCACCACTAACGAAAAATTATAAAGACCCATAATAGATCGCAACATTGGCTCAGGTGAGAAGGCACGAACACCAATTCACGAGATCTCCCAAAGAGGATGTGCCCTCAGAGAAACTTCTGCCCATAACCAATGTCACCACTTGAATAAAATTAACTAAATGTCATCGTCCCATAGGTTATATTTTCTTGAGGGCCCGTGACCATAGTTCATTTGGCAGGTACCTAGTAACGAAACTCGGGCCATTCCCTTCCGTTAATCATGGCTTGAAGGGTCCCGCTGGCAGGCATTTGTTTCTGTCTTTTTATTTTTTTTTCTTTTTTGTTGGTAGATTCATCTGATTAAAAGGGCAAAACTATATAACGAAAATATATAAAAAAAACCATTAAACAGCTCCCAGCTACGTACCAAGTGTCTTAGCTCGGCCCGTCCCCTTCCGTTAGTCACGGCCTGGACAGTCCTCATGACACGTATCTGTTTACGTATTGGATATTACGTCATCGACTGCTAGAATAGGTCTCCTATAATAGTCGCTTCAACTCAGATGGTTGTAGCGGACTTAAGGAGCCCACTTCCTGCGACTCGCCACGCCTTCTGGTGTAGACCTTGAAGATCGTGGTGACGAACCAATTCAATTTTGTTAAGTTGTCCAAAGAGTTGTCGCATGGGGCCAACATTGAGTTCAAGCTCATGGGCTTGGTAAATTCTTTTTTTTTTGGTAGATTCATCTGATTAAAGGGGCAAAACTATAAATTGTAGCTCCAGCCACCAGTCATAAGTATTGCATGGTTCCAGAGACCTTTCGGGAACAAAATGTTACAATAATACTACATTAGACTTTTCAAGCTTGAAAAGATCTAATTAGGCACAAATTGAATATTATAATTATTGACAATCATGACATGACAAAATTTCGGTTGCGGCCATACCATGCAGGAAGCACTGTTTCCCGTCCGATCAACGTTAGTTAAGCTGCATAGGGCCACACTGAGTAGTGTAGTGGGAGACCATATGCGAAATTGTGGTGCTGCAATCTTTTTTTGTGTAATGGAGGCACCGTCTCTCCAAGGCAAATTTGTTCGTCAGTGGGATTTTGTATTCGTATCTAAAAGTTAAGCCTTGCCTGATATCCAACTCAGGACGCATACTTACGTTTTCACAAGATTACACTGACCGATGACGCGACCATCGAGACGCGTCATAACAGTTCCCAGTCTGTTCATGTTGATACATCAAACGTGTCGAATACGATATTCAAATACCAGAGACTATTATTGATAAAGAATACTCAAACTTACTCAAACACATATCAAGATTTATGAGCTTTCAGCAAAAACACCGAGGGTTTTCATACCGGCAAAATGATCCCCAGGGATCTATTAGTGAGAAGCTCCAATTGAGTGGACAATGCCAGCTTTCGAAGTTGAAAACAGACTAGGCAAGTTGTGTTTACTTCCGACACCAGCATACGTTTTCCAGCTCTCTCGTCATTCCGGCGTCTCGAAAAAATTCGAAGTGAAGAATGCTCCTTCAATGCCTCAGTTAGTTATAAGGAGCCGACAGCAGGGCAAGTATGCGTGGATTCGCACCCAAATGACCAGAGCCCAACCGCGCAGATCACCGGGCCATTATGCAGGACCAGCATCTCCAGTCTTATGCCCCAGGCCAAGCCGCTCCTACGGAGCCTCAAAAAAAAACTCCACTAGGCACTCCCACAGAAATAGCTCACTGGAGAAAGAATTTAGCGCTCTTATCGGGGATTTGGGCCGTCTGCCGCGCGATCTCACTGAGATCCCCGTCGGCGTCCGGCATATAGCGCGCCCCAGGCCTTAGCCCCAAACCGCCGCCAACAGCCGCCACCGGCCTCTTTTTCCCTGAACTCCAGCCAGTGCACGCACGCCCATCGGCCGGCCCCATCCAGCGGCCTGGAAAACAGAAACACCCCGCCAAAACCAAAAGGGGCCACACATGGCCATATTGGCGTCCTGCACACAGCGGCGCGCTCCCGTCGCCGCGAGCGCGGGTCTCAGCGCTTCCAAACCCACCTTCTTTCTTCCTCATAGGCTTTTCCCCACGTCAGGTATCGCAGCAACATGGCTTCTCAGGACGACAGGAGCCCGGCGCGGTCACGTGGCTCGGGCCTGCTGGCGGCGGCCCCCGGAAAAACGGCGAAATCCGGCGCAAAACACGCCGAATCGGGACACCTCCGTAGCCGCCGGGCCAAAAACAAGGGCGCCCTCGAGGACGTGGATTCAGGCCCGGAGCGGCCCGCAAGCCCCCGCAAACACAAAAGCAAGGCCGGGGGCGACACGCTCCGCCGCAAGTTGTACCAGCTGCGGCGCGTCACGTTTGTGCTCGGCGCCATCTTGGGCCTCATTGCCACGGCCGTGTTGACGGCCATGCTGTCGGACAACATCAAGCTGGAGCTCGACAAGTTGATCAAGTACGACTCGTTCGGCGACTTGGTGGAGGACTGGAAGTACCTGATCCCGCAGGGCCTCCAGCTGATTGTGGACGGGTACGACCAGCGCGGGCAGACGGAGTTGAAGGGCTCGGCCGAGTCGTTTTCCGTGGGCTTGCGCATGAAGCAGCAGCTCGCGCTCACGCCCAAGCACAACGTGGTGATGGTGCCCGGCGTGATCTCCACGGGCTTGGAGTCGTGGGGCGTCAGCACCGCGGGCGAGTGCCCGGCGCTCCCGCACTTCCGCCGCCGCTTGTGGGGCTCGTTCTACATGTTGCGCACCATGTTTTTGGACAAGGCGTGCTGGTTGAAGCACATCAAGTTGGACCCGGCCACGGGGCTCGACCCGCCGGGCACCAAGGTGCGCGCGTCGTCCGGCTTCGACGCCGCGGACTTCTTTGTCGCGGGCTACTGGATCTGGAACAAGATCCTCCAGAACTTGGCTGTGGTCGGCTACGGCCCGGAGAACATGCTCAGCGCCACCTACGACTGGCGCTTGGCCTACCGCGACCTCGAGCGCCGCGACGCGTACTTCACCAAGTTGAAGTTGCAGATCGAGACCACCAAGCGCTTGACCGGCGAGAAGAGCTACCTCGTGGGCCACTCCATGGGCTCGCAGGTCATCATGTTCTTCCTCAAGTGGGCCGAGGCCTCGGGCGACGCCTTCGGCAACGGCGGGCCCTCCTGGTGCAACGACCACTTGGCCGGCGTCGTGGACATCAGCGGCTCGCTCTTGGGCACGCCCAAGGCCATTTCCGCGTTGCTCTCGGGCGAGATGAAAGACACCGTGCAGCTCAACTACCTCGCGGTCTACGGCCTCGAGAAGTTCTTCTCCAAGCGCGAGCGCTTGGACTTGATCCGCACCTTTGGGGGCATCCCGTCCATGATCCCGCGCGGCGGCGCCGCCATCTGGGGAAATGCCACCCACTCGCCGGACGACCCCGGAAACGCGCTTCTCACCGACGACACGGGCGTCACTGTCGCCGGGCCGAAAAACCGAACCCTCGGCAAGTTCATCCGCTACCGCTCCCGCGACAAGGCTTCCCGCGGCACCGCTGGAATTTCCAGCGACGACGAGGACTTCACCTTGGAGCAGAGCATCGACAAGCTTTTCGAGCTCTCTCCGCAGTGGTTGACCAGCCGCATTAAGGACAACTACTCCTTTGGTATTGCGCGCACGGCCGAGGAGCTCGAGGCAAACAACCAGGACCCGCTGAAATGGTCGAACCCGCTCGAGGCCGCGCTCCCCAATGCGCCGGACATGAAGATCTTCTGTCTCTACGGCGTGGGGAACCCGACGGAAAGGGCCTATACGTACAAAAAGGGCGAGAAGGGCTCGGGCCTTCCGTTGGTGATTGATACCGAGAGCGATCACCCGGTCTATTTCAGTGATGGCGATGGCACAGTGTCCTTGTTGACACACCTGATTTGCCACGAGTGGCAGAAGGAGAACTCCAGGTTCAACCCGGCCGGTATCGAGGTGAAGATTGTGGAGATGAAGCACCAGCCGGATACGTTCGATATCCGCGGGGGCGCCAAGACTGCAGAGCACGTTGACATTCTCGGCTCCGCAGAGTTGAATGAGCTCATTCTCAAGATTGTCACGGGACACGGCGACTCGATCGAAAACAACTATGTCTCGGAGTTGAGGAACATCTCACTCAAGATGGAGATCTAGGAGGGCGCGGCATCCTAAGGCGCTCTTCCTCGCTTTTCGCGTGAGGTCGAGGGGGCGGCTTGAAAGCCACTTTCTGGCCAGCGGGCTTATAAACGCCACTGGCCAGCAGCGCGGCCCCGCTGAGCTTGGCTGAGTGTAAGATGGGTCGTATTTCGGTCTACTGTATTCTAGCTTCGCGAGCATGAAGCTGCGCGCCGAACTTGTACTGTTCTCAAGATACTGTCTGTCACTTTAGCTCGTAAGTTTCACACCAGCCATTCATGCTTCTTCGCAGATCTGAAGGATGCACAGCCGTGCCGGGAAGCCATGACGAGCCAGGAGTTCACCCCACACAAACGAGCTTGGTCCACGGCCTGAAGCGCCTGTGATGCTCGAAGTTGGGTATGCAATTCCAGCAGCAGTCGAAACGTGTGCCGGAGGGTCTTGAAAGGGCATTGACTGGATGGCGAGCGACTACGTTTGTCCAGAGCTTGTCCAGGATTGTGGGTCGAGAAGCTTTCGTCGTGCCAATCTTTGGCTACATTACCTGGAGGTCTACTTGAAAATACCGGATTTGACAGGGAGAGAACAGCATAGTGACGGGAACCATTGGATTGTTTGTCCCTTCCGATTCTTGATGTGTGCTCTGGCAATTTTTTTAATTGGTACGCACCCAGCTGAGAGACACCGCCCAGTACTAGCGGGAAAAAGTCTATTTTCTCGAGCAAACAGCCGAATTCTATTGGAAACATGGGTGCCTCGTGAAGTCTGCGCGCACGCTCGCCCAAACAGCGCCGCACCTTGTACAACATTGGTTTTTCATGAGCGAGACAGGGCAGCTACAGAACCAGCCAACAAAGCACGAGACCGGCGCCATCGGTGCCACCCTGTCCCCCGCGTCTTTCCCGTGTCACTTCTGCGGGCGGGCGTTTAGCCGAAAAGGCACGTACGGGCGGCATCTTGACAGCAAAAAGGGCGATGCCCAGCATCCGGCGGGGCAAGTCGAGGCGTTGCGCAGCGGCGTAGTTCGCAGGGCCGCGCGCAGGGCCGGGGAGCCTGTGGCAGACGAGAAAGCCGGCCGAGCACCGAAGAAAGTCAAGAGGCAAAAAAGCCAAATTGCAAAAGTCTACAACAGCAAGACCGCGGTCAAAGAAAAAAACCGGGCGCGGCGGCGGGCCCGCGATCTGCGCCTCAAGGCACAGCTCCAGGCCCATGAGTGGTATATTGGCATGCTCTCAGGGCCGCAGGGCCTGGCGCAGGGCCCGGCCGGCCGCGCGGAAAACGCGTCGCTAGAAGCCGGCAAGCAAGCGCATCGAAGCCAGGGCCTGGAAAGCGGCCCCGAACGCAGCCAGAAAAGCGGCCAGAAAAGCGACGCCGAAATCTACGGCGCCCGGTACGCGTATGCTGTTGCCAGCAACGTGCCGCCGTCGCAGTGGCCGCAAAAAAACGGGTATCCTGGCGACGCGGAATTTGGCGCCACCGTCGGGCAGCTCACGGCCCTGGCGGGGATGGCGCCATATAATCGCAGCGCGCCGGGGCCGCAGTATTTCCAGGGCCTGGGGCCGCAGAGCGGCGGCGGGGCCGCGGCACAAGACTCGACCGGCGCCGCGGCCCTAGAGCAGGTGTTCGCGTGGCATGCGCACTGGGCCCAACTCGGCCCCAGCACCAAGCGGGCGCTCTGGCAAGCCGAGTGCGACCGGGCGCTCCGCACGCACTTGCATGGGGCCAGCCTCTGCCAGATCAGCGGGGCCGCGGCCGTGGTGCGGGAAAAAACACGCCAGTTGTGCGAGCAGTATTCGCAGGGCGCGTTTCTCGATTCGATTCTCACAGACTCCGGGCCCGAGACCCCATAATGGGGCGCGGGCGTCCACGGCTGGAAATCGCAGAATGCGTGTTTGCGTGTATTTTGTTTGGGAAGAATGGCCGGGGTAATTTGTGGGTTTCATTGAACGACTGTGCTGTTTGATGGGTGTGTTCGGAGGGTACTTTTCTGTCAGGTGGCAGTGAATGGTCATCAAGGAGCCGGAGTGCATTCCGCGCGTTTGCCAAAGACTGGCACATATCGCCGGGCTCTGGAGCTTTTTTTTTGAAGCGGGTGGGGGATTATAAAATGCAAAGCTGCTGCCAAAACAATGACATGTTCCAGTTGTCCCGCGTCATATGAGTGTTGATGCTTGGACTGTCAAACTGCAATCCTCATGTCCTTTGTGTTTTCTGGGTTCAATCTTCCACTTGGCAGTCCGTGATTTCAGTTGTCACGGGTCATGCATGAGCAGAATGGCGTGTGTCTGCAGCAGACTTGATGCGCGTGTCGTGGACATGTCTAACATGAAGGCCCCGAGCGTCGAAAGCAATTTGCCAGCCCATGGCTGGTACCCACGTTTGATCACGTTTTATTTCTTCTTTGGAACAGCATCACTGGTTTCAGGCACATATGTTTCCAGAGCGTTCACAATACACTCCCTGTGTACCGTATCACAATGCTTTGATCAGGTAACACCTCTTTGAGCTTCGGAAAAAGACTACGATGAATCGATTCTCCATGCAAGCTGGCAAGATAGTGATTGCTAAGAATGACATTCTGCAGTATATCGACGGGCTGCGGTTTGTGCCATTGACGGATACTCAAGATGCCAATGGACATGATCAGTGAAGTGGAACTATTATGGCATCTTTTGATGCTAATTCGCAAATCTGTCTTTCTAGACTTACCCGACTAATCAGTGCTCCTTCACGAACAGTAACTTGGTCCAGATATTTTTCAGTTCAAACGAAAGAACCCATTGATATGTGAACTATTGTTGCGATCTTCCAAGACATCATGTCTAAAACTTGCGCATGGAATTCAATCTTGCAGTCTAGATGTTCAAGAGGCCATATACTGTGGATTCATTTGCACTTTTGCCTTGCGGCCTTTGATGTCCATGCCCAGACCTCATGGAGAAACCCAACTCAGAGAAAGACTGCGCGTGTTGTAGAGCGTCCAATACAATTTCTCAAAAACCACTCAGGTATTCATGTGTTTAAAATAGCATATCATGTGATGAAGCATTCCAACACTCATCTAGTTTTCGGGGAAGCGTGGTCGGGAATAATGTGCTACTTAATGGGCAGTCCTTGATTCAAAAAATAGAGTTGCAAAGCTCGTACCTTCTGAGCCATAATACTTCTCGTATAGGTTTGCATGAGGTGGACAGTACACTGGTATCACGTGGGTGATTGTGGTAAATAGTGACGTCAGTTTTCTACTGTAAAATGCCCCAGAACCCAGACAAAACTTCTGACTAGAGCTCTCTAATGATAAGCATTTCCCGAGCTATGTAATGTGGGCAGTCCCGAAATCGGCGGCTCTACAAGTCACAAATGTTGTTGAAGTTACAAAAGTCATCAGGCTTGTCAGTTTTACAACTTTATGAAAAAGCTTGAAGAACAAGTAACGGTTCTGACAATTCAGAACAGGGCCAAGTAAATACTGTGCCATGCACGACCAGGCGGACTAGCATATTCAATGCGGCAAGAACCAGTTGCAATTCTCAAGTTGGAAAATGATAGTTCTGTGAAGAGCCTGTTTGGCCATACCAAGCTTTTGATATGTAAATTGATCAGCTTCACTTCATGTTACCCATGAGGCCATTCAATCAGGTTTGTCGACTCGCTCTACTGACTCAAGGAATTGGGCTGCAAGAAAGCCGTTCATTTTATACATTCTAGCGACAAGGGGACAGACTTGATCACTGAAACTTTTCGGGACAGAAAGACAACATTCTCTGAAAACCATTTGGCCTTGAATTTGGGCAGCTCCTAAAATCTCACATAACATTCCAAAGAAGCAAGCTTTGCGTTCTCAGTTGCAAGTCCGATTCCACTGGCGGCAATATCGCGAGTGCTTTGCTAACCAATACAGGGTTTGTTTCTTTCCAAATATCATTCATAATCAAAGATTGAAATAAGTCTGATACACTGACTAATACTTGTCAAGCAAATATGATAAAGTGAGCCGAATTACAAAACAAAAAAATAATCGAAAAAGGATAAACCAAGCCAAAGAAACCAAAAATAGCTAATAACAGTCAACAACACCCAAAGACAGCCAACACTAGCCAATACTTGCGAATCCTAGCCAAAGACAGCCTATACTAGCCAATAACAGCCAATGACAGCCAATAGCAACCAAAATCAATAAGGAAAATCAAACAAATCCAATACCATCAAAACCAACTAATACGACAAACAACAACCAATACCAACCTATATCGTCCAAGGCATAAACATACAAAGTCTTCATTCCATGGCCCCATATACAGTCAGCACGGCCAGCACGGCCAGCGCGGTCTGTTGCAGTCAACCCAAAAAACGCGCACCGCACGCTCCGACATACGATAAGAGCAAAGCACGAAACACATAGCCACGTTGCGAATAGATCCCCGGAAAAGCCCGCTATTATATCATGAGGTATGCAACGAAAGAAGTGATGCAGAATCGCAGGCCTTCAAATTACTAACACAGCTAGTGGAAAGTTTGTTCGCGCCTCGAAGTACAGGCACGTGTTCGGCCAGGCGGCCAAGAGAGAACTCAGCTACGAAAACTTGAAAGTCACCAAAAACGCGTGGGACTCCAACATCATCAATTGCAACGGCAAGTACCTCTCGGTCACGTGGGAGTCCTCTGGTGGGGGTGCCTTTGCGATCATTCCGGTGTCCGAGGTGGGCAAAGCTCCGGACACAGTGTCGCTTTTCCGCGGGCACAAGGGCCCTGTTTTGGACACGGCTTTTGACCCTTTCAACAAGCAGAGAATTGCGAGCTGCTCGGACGACGGCCAGATTATGGTCTGGCAAATCCCCGAGGACTTTTCGTTCCACAACTACAAGGACGAGAACGACAACTTGAAAGACATCACCGAGCCGGTCAAGGTACTTTCGGGCCACAAGCGGAAGGTCGGTCATGTGGATTTCCACCCCTGTGCTGCCAACGTTTTGGCGTCATCCTCTATGGACTACACGGTGAAAATCTGGAACGTGGAGACCGGCCAAGCGGAGCTCACCTTGCAGCACAAGGACATGGTGACGTCATTTGCCTTCAACTACAATGGCTCGCTCTTGGCTACCACCTGCAGAGACAAGAAGTTGCGTATCTGGGACCCCAGAACGGGCGAGGTCTTGTCGGAAGCACCCAGTCACACAGGCGCCAAGGCGTCTCGTGTGGTGTGGTTGGGGAACACCGACCGAATCTGCACTACTGGTTTCTCGCGCTTGTCTGACAGGCAAGTCGGGATCTGGGATGTCAACGACATCTCCAAGGGCCCCATAGACGGGTTTATGGTGATAGACTCGTCCTCAGGTGTGTTGATTCCCGTTTTCGACGACGCAAACTCCATTCTCTACTTGGCAGGAAAGGGCGACGGAAACATCCGCTACTACGAGTACGAAAACGATGTGCTCCACGAAATCTCTCAATACGCATCGACAGATGCCCAGAGGGGGTTTGCCGCAGCCCCGAAGACCTATGTCAACATGAGAGAAAACGAGATCTTGAAGTCTTATAAGACCGTGAATGACCATGCCATCGAGCCCATTTCGTTCATCGTGCCGAGAAAGTCAGACTTGTTTCAGCAAGACATTTACCCAGACGCGCCTTCGGATCAGGCCGCACTCTCTGCCGAGGACTGGTTTGCCGGAAAGAATGTCAACGGGCCTTTGTTGGTTCCCATGGAGGCCATCTACGAGGGCACCTCTCCAGAGGTCAAGGAGTCGTCCCCTGGCGTGAGCATCTCCGAGAGGAAAGCTGAAATTTCCGCCAAGAAAGCCGCCTCTGTGCCTGGGACGAAAAAAAATTCTCCAATCAAGGCTGATCCTCCAGTTGAAGAGGACATAATCGGATCGTCGTTGCCTTCTTCTGCTCCCAGTAAGGAGCCTGTTGACGAAGTTTTGAAATCTTCTGGAAAGGTAGACAATCTTCTTAACAAAGTTGTCGATGAGTCTGATGATGAAGATGCCCAAAGAATTGCGGAAAGTAAAGGAAACGACGATGATTGGGAGGAGGTCGAAAAACCTGTCGTGACTTCCATCCAGAATACCAACGAATGCAAGGAAGAATCAAAACAAGACACTACAGTATCGGCGCCAGAGGTCAAAGCTGAACCAAAGGCTGAACCAAAGGCTGAACCAAAGACTGAACCAAAAGCTGAACCAAAGGCTGAATCAAAGACGGAATCAAAGGCTGAATCAAAGGCTGAATCAAAAGTTGAGACGAAAGTTGAGCCAAAGGCTGAGTTAAAGGCTGAGCCAACCGCTCTTGCTCCAGCAGAAAACGCTTCCTCTACAAGCAAATCTACTGCTCAACCTACCTTGAGGGCAACTGTGGATAAACTTGCTGCTATTGTCGAGGTTTTGGAAAAGCAGGTAAGCACCCTAGTTGCTGCTAACATCGAGAAGAACGACAAGATCGACTCGCTAGAGAAGAAGATTGATGATTTGTTGAAAAAGTGAATTTTCTTGAGGAGCCCTCATGCCGTATATTCGGTTATCTATTCGTTTTTAATATCATAAAAATGCTTGAAGATGAGCGTAGCAAGGTTTTCTGTGTCGAAGGTCACCATTCCGTCAAACATGACCCATAGTTGCTTGTGCTCATACTGGTGGTCCAAAACTTTGTCCAAAGTGATTGTGTTGCAAGCACCAGGAATATTGACTGTACCATTGGCCGCCTCGATTACAAATACACCGGCCTTGTGACAACTGAACATAAACTCAACTTTCGAAGAGCTCGCAGTCCGCTTATACAAAGTGCCCCCAATGTTGTTCACCACGCCTTGATCCATGAGCTTTTTAGCCGAATATTTGTAAGACCCAAACTTGGGTAATCTGTTGTTCTTCTTTAGCTGTCTGTGGTAGAAGTACTGCTTGCTAAAGACAGGAATGATATTGAATATCTTCTTATCTTTGGGCCTCCGTTGCAAATCCAAGAGAACCTTGTCAATATGCTTGATGTAATCATTGAGCTGCTTTCTGAGAAAAACCTCTTTTTCAAGAAGCTTTGAGACCGTCTGGCTTGCAACGAGAAGTTGTGTTTTTCGAGACTTTCTCCGGGAATCTTTTGTCTTGATGTCTAGCACAACTTGGTTGAGAAGCTCCTGAAAGGAGTTCTTCCTTGTAACGACTTTTAAACTCTCTAGCTGAAGGATCACTTTCAAAGCCATCTTCTTAAGAGTGACATAATTCACACTCGACAAGTCACCTAATGGTGACCTGCTATATGGGAAAGAGTTACCCCTTGAGCCTCGCCCAGCCTCAGAGGCCTCACTGATTTCAGTGTCAATGATTTGCCTGAATTTTGTTTCGTGGTTTGGTTTGATTCCCCGCACGAAGAGCTCAAGTAAGTCGTCGCCGTCTTGCACCCTGATGATGTAGAGAAGACAACGCTTAGCTTGTGCCATAAGATTTTTGATTTTAGAGTCTGCCATGGATGCCTCCTGTGAAGCTGGCGATAACGTTAATGTGAAGTCACCCATCTCAGTTAGGGTCACGAAGTCATCGGCAGAATCCACTAAGTCATTAAGCTCACTTAAGATGGCATACAACTGGTCATCAAGTCCAGGAACAACAATGTCTAGGTGGCGAGAAACCAATTTTTCAATGGCGATCATGTCACTAACTTTCATAGTCAACTGCGGCCGATCGTGCACAACAAGATCGTCGTAGTCGTTCATTTCATACTCCACCTCTAAGTCTCTCACATCAATGATTTCTCTAATGAGAGCCATTGTGCTGTCCACATAGGAAAGAACAAAGTCGTTGAGCGGCTTCATGAAATTATCACTGAATGCTTTCATCGAAAAGACCTGCAACAAGACCCTGCTCAAATACTTGAGGTTGTCGCAGCCCTTTTCTGGATATATTCCAGCAGAGGAGATGGGATCTCTGGTAGAATACCCAAAGTTTGCAGGGCATTGCATTATGTTGGAAATGTAATGTTTGATGATCACGACACCAGCCACTGACAAGTACTGCTGTTCGTTATGCTCCGGAAATTGCGCTCGTGAGAGCTTGTATGCGGTCTTTGCCAAGACCCTCATGTGGATTGGAAGACTAGGAATACCGCGTCTCAAGATGTCCATGAAGTCACTGGTGGCGTCTCGTAAGTCGGTCAAGTTTTTCACGAACTGGGATGACACCTCATGGTTTTGAATGGCTATTTGCGGCGACACCTCACGAGGTTTTTCACTCTTTCCGTACACATTAATTTCACGAGCCCGGATGAGCTCATGGATCTTTGAAGGGTTTGGTTCGAATGTGGTTTCATCGTCATCGAGAATCTTTTCCACAGCTTTTCCAAATTGTCTCTTCAAGTGTGTCCTCTGGCTTGTCTGATTGTTGAAGTCTAACAAAAATGAGATCCAAAAAGTCGACTTGATTTTGGTGATGTCGGCCACATTTCGCGAGTCTCTTTCGATATCAGTCTTCATCAAGGCACTCACCAATTTGACAAAGAAGAACTCTTCTCGGGAATGAGAATTGACAGTAATTCGAGGAAGCGAGAACAACTGAGCCACTAGCGAATGAACATTCTTCAACAGTTCGTTAAAATCAGAGGGGGACATGGTCTCATAAAACCTACTCCAATATGCGGGATTGGTTTGCAAGAAATAGAACATAGACAGGTAGAGCTCAATTCTTTTTCGCACGGATTTCTTGAGTTTGTCGAGATTTTTCCGTGCCCCAGCATTGTGGACGAGAGGCTTGTAAGTTTTGAAGTTCTTGTTGTGCTTCATGAACTCCTCAATGCTGATCTTGTTTTTGTCCAACAAGCTTAGTTTGATGTCCAAGTTCTCAATCTGCGCTTCGAGGTCTTCGTTGCCTTTTGACCTCTCAAGGATTTCGTCCTTGAGCCTAGTCAACTCAATTTCTTCTTCGAAATCCGTTCCGCTATCCGAGAGAAGATAGGCAAACTTCCTCACCACACCTAGGGGAGGATTTTTCATCATGATGAAGGCCTTATACGCATCTTTGGTGTACTTGCTTCTTAGTATAGCCTGGGCTTTTACGACTTTGTCTGCATGGATCGCATAATAGTGATCAAAGGACGCCCTTTTCAACCTCACAATCTTTCCTCTGATTGTAGTTTGGAGACGAATGATGGAGTCCACATTGTCGTAGATATCCTCCATATCCACAGACTGATTGAATCTCGCCAAGATCCCCCTGAACCCAGACTGGAGAGATACGATCTTATCTTCCTCTTTTATTTGAAGAACAAATTTCTTGTGGCGAATATCTTCACGCACGGCATTTCCTCTTGCTTTTGCAAAGAGCTCGCTCATCTTCACATCTTCTCCAATGAGAGTAATCAAGACATTGTTGCATAATCGGGTTCTTGTTATAGCCCCTCTGGCAATGCTTTGAAGCTCACCCAACGAGCAAATCTGCTCGCTCAATACCCCTAAGCATTTTGCGACTTTGCTTCTCACAAAAGCCCCTCTAGCAAGCCCTTGGAGCTCAATGATTGCGTCATCATGTTTCAAGTGTGAAGTGACGCTTTCGTTCTGCAGGCGAATGAATAAAGATCGGCGAGCCAAAGATTGCACCTGTACTATGCTGGGCTCAATCAAAGATCGATGTTGCAGGAACGTTGAGGCCCTGTCGTAAATGGGCCTTGCCCGAATCCGGCATTGAAGGCCCGTGATTTGCTCCTCGTACCTGAGTAGCGTGTGAATTTTTTCCCTTATATCGTGTCTAACGAGAAACCCTCGAGCGATGTGGTGCAAGTGTCTGACGGAATCACCACCAGCACAGTCGATCACAGTATTCAGCCGCTTTTGAGCCATCCGCAGTCGGGCGATGGCTTGAAGGCGTGAAATGTCGTTTTCGTACGCGAGAAGATCGCCTCGATGACGATGGACTGTCTTCGACCTCACCATGTTTCCCCGAATGATGGAGAAGAAGGTGGTAAGCTCTGTGTCATAGGACTTCACCATGATCTTCCGAACAAACATGTGGTAGCGGAGGATGGAGCCTTTGCAAAGAGCCTGGAGCTTCAATATGTTGGTCATGTGCAAGTCAAGCTCGGGGGTATAGTATTGGCTCAGTTGGCCCACGGAGGATAGCAGGGTAGGCATGCTTGACTTTGGAGACGCGGTGAGGGCAGGCTTTGAGTCGATGCTTTTGACGGTCAAGTCGGGGATTCTCATGCCACCCAAGCTGAACTTACTGGCAGGGTCGGGGATGATAGAGGCGGGCTCTAGAAATGGGTTTTCGGTCTCCGGCAGCCTGGGCTTGGCCCCAGGAGACGCCGCTCGAGACGCTGGTTTGGGCAGCTTGGTTGGAGACACGGACAACGCTTTGTTCATATAGGAGCTTGTGCCTGGCGAGCCCACGTTGACGTTGTCTGCACTTGAGAAGTTGGGCAATTGGTGGCCCAACAACGACCTGCTGGCAGCCCTGATTTCGGCCGCGTCAAAGTCGAGAGCGCCCACCAAGTTTTCCATGGGCGGGTACGCCGGGTTGAGCGTGTTGATCTTGTAGCTGATGGCATGGAGACAGAACCACACCTTGGGCACGTCCTTGGCATCGTAGAGGTCCGTGAGCTCGAAGTGAAACACATCAGGAATGTCCAAGTACTTGAGTAACCTGAAGAAGCGGTTGATGTTCTCGGTGTGGCGGAACTCCAATCGGGCGTCCTGTGTGTACACTGGTTTCTTCCCGGGCAACAAGATGTTGGCGAGCTTGGCCAAGTAAATGCCGTTCTGGATATGCGAGATGAGTTGCGGCGCAGTTTGCGGGATAGGCTCGCCAAGCACGGCCTGGAGCCAGTTCTTGATGGCCTGGATCCGGCAGAGATACTCGTACGCCTTGGAGTCCGCCAGGGTTCTTGTTTTGCTTGCCGAAAGAGGCTCGATGGGCACGTTCAAGTCGGCCAATTTGCGTGGTTCTGTCCTGCCGGCCGTGGGCGTGCCGAGCCGTGGCGAGGGCGACGTTTGGAACGAAGACACAGTGGCTGACGGCGTGTCGAGCCGAGCCCGGGGAAAACCGGCTGTTTTGGCCGGGGTGTCGATGTTCATTTGGCGGGCCAAATCGTCCAAGTCGGGCGAGTCGAGCTTATGGGCCTTTCCTTTTTTGGCGGGTCTGATGTTGAAGTTGTTGGCCTGGGCCAAAGGGGCCCTGGCGGGGCTGGATTCGGGCAAGGAGTCCAAATATCTGGAGGCGACATTGCGGACCGGGGACGCCATGGCTCGCAGGAATATGGATTCTGGCTATTTTGGTGGTGTGCTATTTTGGTGGTGTGCTATTTTGTGCGCTGTTTTGGATGGCTGCTTTGTAACTGGGCGGTGCTGGTTTTGGGTGTTATTTTCTTTTCTGATATCAGAGCCGATTCCGGTGCAAGCTGACAGTCGAGAAGAGTCTGAGGCCCTGGAATGCGGAGCTTGGCGAGGACTCATTGAGCCTCGCAGATGCAAAGGCCATGATAACGCTGCCGAACGCGGCGGAAATGTCAACACTACAAAGGCGCCGTGCATGGAGAGTCGTGGCGGCGTGCCCTGTCTGCCTAATTGCCTGCAGAGGGTCCCCCGATGCCAGCTGCAATATACGGAGCGCTTCTGGGAAATCAGTGGTGGATTCATCGAGGAAGGCCCGTTCAGTGGCCGGCTTCTCTAATGACATCGGGAGACTCATGTCTCTCACTTATGGGAATGTCAAAAATAAAAGTCAGTGCACATGGAGCCACGTGCAGGACCAGCGTCAGAATCGAAGGAGGCCTCGTGGCACGCAATAGAAATAAAGACATGGTCTTTGAAGAAGCGTCAATTGAATACAGGTGTCTGTGAGAAAAATCTTGCTGAATGCTGTGGAATGGAGGGGCTTTTAAGTAACTTTGATCAGAAGTTTCCTGAGTCGGGATACGAAGTAAGCCATTTCCAAGGTATTCTTGGGTATGGTACAACAAAGACCGAGAGCATGAGTACCGGGTCCAAGTTATATTGACGATACTCTTGGAAATCTGCGAAACTGAGAAGATCACATACCAAAAATTATTATTCAGAATGGAAAAAACTGAAGAGATTATAGTTGACAAAAATTAAGCAGCGAATTGTGCCATCTACATCCCAATACAGCCTCAGTAAGGATTCTAAACACGAGATCAATTGAGGAATCAAAAGGTCTTCACGCATGCATGTCAGTTTCACTAACTAGTCTTCTTTACAATTTCAGAGGGATTTCTTTCACGTGGTCTTCTTCGCTTGTCATTCCCTGAAAACAGAACCAAAAGTTGAAGAATATAAAAAGCCCCCAGGTGTGCAGTTTAACTGACACAATCCTCAGGTCTGAGGAGATGCATTGTGTGAAAGACGGAATCAAATGTCTGTTTTACTATTTCTTTCAGGTACGTGATGAATGAAACTGAACTATAAGATATGACGCCATATGGATGAAGGGCACTGTCCTTATAATCAATATGTGTGGATACATAAATTAGATTTTCCTAGGCGAGAGCATGAATTGCGGGCCATGTCCGACGGCATTTAATGACGACGCAGAACAGAACCTTGGTTGTTCCGTGAAGCCCTCCCACAATACCAAGTCTTTGGGTTCAATATCTCTTTACAGACGGTCCAGATTGTGATTGTGGAAAGATCATACAATCTGCTGAAGCGTAAACTATATCGTATGCGAAGATATCTATTTGGGTCTCAAGGGCTGCGGATGCATAAGGAGAGATTATGATGGGAGAGCCCTTACTGTTATTTCATGCAGATCCACCCATAGATAGAAACCCATTGCGGATGAGAGTCAAATAAACACCTTTTCGGTAGTGCATCAAATGCTGTTTTCTTGTTGGGTTCGGCAGGGCAACAGCCACCAGATTTATGAAGTATGAATCTTATGGTTCGCGTTTACCGGCTCTCCACATGATTGTGAGGGTGTATCCAGTCTGAGAAGAGCGCAAAAGAAGACGGAAACAAGAATTTTGGTACGGAGATTTTCATGCGTGTTTCTAGGAGCAAAAATATCCTAGACTAGCAGATCACGCAATGATGCGTTTCATGAACCAAGCTGATTCGGATTCCGCCACCTGCCACCCGGCAAAAGCTATTGCACCATTTTGCTGGCTAATTTGTAGATAAAGACATCAGAAGGACTGACGCCATGGGATGCGAGATCTTATTAAAAGGCTCTTTGTCGAATTGCATGCCCATTTAACACCGGCCCTTTTGAGACTGCGGATGAATGGATGCGCCGCCGCCAGCAGTGGCGAGAGCAGCGTAGAAAGCATAAACACGACTCTCCTAGTGAATCTTGATGGTCTGTGATTTCACTTATCTTGTGCCAGGGCCTCGGCCACTTCATGGGCCACGCAGCGTTCGGGCCTGGCCTCAGTGCTGAGTACCAGGCGAGACACGGTGCCTTCTTTGTTGGTCTTCTTTTGCAGTTTCTGTTTATTCTGCCTCCCTCGCGTCATTTCACGGTGGCTTTTGGCTTGTGTCATGTCTTGTGTCGTCGGCCATGTTATTTCTCCCATCTCCCAGTGTCTTCTCCTCTCTAAGTGTCTCCATCAAACAATTTCTCTATAGTTCAGTGTCTTTCCATAGTTCAGTCACTTTCCATAGTTCAGTCACTTTCCATAGTTCAGTCACTTTCCATAGTTCAGTCACTTTCCATAGTCCCCGGTCACACATCTGTGCCCTCTGACCCACCGCCCCGGTGTCCGCATAAAAGCCTTCCGCAGCGTGCTCACAGCATGAGCCGCGCCATCAATTCTCGCTTCTTTCTCTCCACCAACCACCGCTCCACAGCCTTCTGGCTGTGCCCCCCTTCCTGTAGCTTGGCTTCCATCCCGGCGCTCGCAAACACCTTCTCCCCCACCGCACCGTTGATTTCGGCACGCACCCTCTCTTTACTAGCATCTATAGACTTGTCCCACAGCGCCCCTTCATGCACGCCGTAGTAGGCCAACGAGAGCCCCGGCTGGCCAGAGCACCCCTGGCCCACGTGGATCTTCTCGCCGACCCGTGCCTCCGGGAGCTCTTTTGCCCGCCCGAAATACGTCTTTCCTCTCACGCGCGTGCCGATTTTCTTCTCGTACCGAATGTAGTCGTTGCCTCCCAAAGAAAGAATATGGTGCTCCCACGCCCGCTTCTCGGCATAGATCCGATTGAGCGCGTCGTTGGCAGCTCGGAGCTCGTCGGCACCAAGCGACGGGTCATTCACGGCGGCCATTTTGGCCAGCATTTCGCTCATAACCGCCCGCCGCCAGAGCTCGGCTTCGGCTATGGTTTCCACGCTCTGCACTTTGCGGGGCCTGTTTCCGGCGTCGATCCTGACCACGCCGGCGTCCTGGATTTTCTGCTCATAGTAGCGGTGGAGACCCGACTGGGATTTCTCCTTGTTGCGCGACATGGCAGAAACGCAGGCTACGAGAGGTGGGGAGAAAGGCGGTGTAGACAGATGAGTTTATTGGATCTGGCTGGAGCGCGCGCTGGCACTGTGCGGACAGGCCTGTTTAAATTAGGACAGACAGCCTCGGTTATCTGGGAAGCAAAGGTTTGGTGTTTTGGGGCTTTTGAATAGAAGAGGCTGCTTTGAGACGGCTGTTTTGGCTGAACGGCGGTGTTTGGTTGGTGGCGGGGTGCTTTTCTTGCAGGCGCTCATATCAAGCGGTGCGAGACTAATACTGCTATGATATGGAGGCAATATATTGGGGTGGTGAGAATAGTGATGTGGTCAGAATGGTGGTCACAATGGTGGTCAGAATAGTGGGGTGGTCAGAGTATTGCACTGGCCACAGTATCCTGGTGAATAAATATGGCCCTTTTGTTGTTCGTTTGAACGGGATAGCTGATTACGGTATGCTCGGTTCCTGGGCTGGTACTTATAGTGTTCGCGGTGCTGAGTCTACTGGGCGCAAGCATTGAACCTGGGTCCGTGTCTGCGATTCCGGGGAAAAGATCCAGTAAATAGAAAAGATCCGGAATCTGCCCACTTCTGTTGTTTGGATGCACTTTCTTGCTTCCGATTTCCAAATGATATTCAATGAGTGATCAGAAACGAGCTCCATCAGGCAAAATCATACATGTATATGATATCTGCCAGGCCGCTAAAAGCAAAAACACAAGCTCGTAGCTTCGAGAAATGAGATCCAGAGCTATCGAATAATGACAACTCCCAGTAGAGACACGAAAACCGGAAAACATCTCGTATCATAGCAGCAAGCGACAATGGATCCGGAGCTGGATATAAAGATCGCGTATACAAATATGCCCCAAGAACATTTCCAAAACGGACTGGGGCTTCATTTGATCCAGGAACAGGCGCGTTCTCAACCACTATCCATTCCAGAACATGAACTCTATTGCAAACAATTGCTGAGTTCGAAACATAACTTGGGGAACACCGGCGAATTTTTAGTTTACAAAAACAGTCTGCCCCGGTATACAGATGTTTGCCGGGCTCCAAAATTTCACATTCCTATTGGTCTGGTGTCTGGCTGATTGAAATCTTAGTTCTGGCCTTTTCTGGCAGGTGCACATTGCAATTCAGAGAGCAGTCTACTGGATCTGATTCCAATTCATGAATTTCCAAGCACATATGAGGAAGCAAGGCTGCAATCAACTTTCATGCAATCCAGAACCGAATAAAGCTTGTCCATACACCATGTTTTTCCCCCGCAACTTTCTCCGTCATGTCTACTCACCACAGTTCCATTGTGTCAAAGAAATCAACTCTCTTCCCATCCTCCAAGCTTTCAATCACCACTCTTCGTGAGGTGTCCACAAAATTGCTATGACCACAAGCGACAAAGGCAATCGCCCCCTTGGACTCAGTTATGTCTCCCTTTACGATCTCATTGAGACCCGGCCTGCCTGACCTAAACTCTACAAAATGCAACCTCTCCATTAAACGAGCAGCATGTGCATCGACCAAGTCGGTCTCATTCACTTTGTCGTGAATTTTCTCAGTGCTGGAGACATCCAGTGACTCGATTTCCTTGTGCTTCTCGAAAAACGCCTCGTCCAAGGGCGTATTAAACGAGGTCACGTACACAACAGGCTGCACATTGGTCCCCTCCAAGCTTTTCAACTCATCATAGAACCACTCAATAGACTTCCAATGACGAATAACCCAGTAGAGTTTTAAATTTTGACTCGCGTATTTTTTAGAAAGCTGCAAAGCACTGGCGAAAGGGCCTGGAATCCCGTTTCCCCCGGAGAGATAGGACACGGTGTCGTAGTGTTGCAATGCAGCTCCGTTTCCATACGGGCCCTCTACCGAGCACTTTATCTGTGCTTTCTGTTCCGGCTGCTCACTCAAAAATTGATAAAGCGAGTTAGACATGCCACCTTTCACCTTGATATAGAAGCAAATGACATTCTCCTCGGTCACAGAATCAACAACCGTGAAGGGATGCGACTGCCAAAAACAAGACGCCCGGAAAAAGTAGATGTACGAAAAGCACAACGGATATGGCTTCCAGGATGCTGGCCTAGGCACCCGGACCTTCAAGGTCTCGTCTGCAACCAACTGCACTTCGGCTGTTCTGACACCAAACCATGACATTCTCAAAATTCTCATGAACTTATCAAAGGCCCACACAGCCGTGGTTGCATACATCAACTGCTGGAACCCATCTACTGCCACATGGATCCATGTGGAAGCCACAAACACGATTCCCATTACATTGTGTGACAAGACAAACAACTCATAGTTGTTTTTTCTAAGCATTGCGAGTGAATGAAAACACATGATTCCCCCTATGATTACAGCCACATAGCCCCATTGCACAAACACTTCCTGGTTACGCATATCAAACCTTCCGAGGCCCACGCTGTTTATTGTCATGGTGATTCCATGGACCACCATCAAAATGAGAGCAACCCGGGCCATCCAACGATGAATGATGTTGAATCTAGTGAATGACCAGCCAGAAACCCACTGCAAAAAGTTGTTTCTGCCCGCAAATAAAAATAATTGCGGAATCAAGTACATCACCATAATACCAGTGCGGTCCGAAATCTCCCTTCCAAGCTCCTCGCTCTTGGTGGGCCAGAAAATGTTGTTTGAAAGATGGTGGTAATTTGCCACATTGAAAGCCAAGGCCATGGCAAACCATGCCACGAGATAAATTGTTTCAATTCTAGTTGGAATCACAAACTCGAACACTTTGAAAAATCTTCCATGAGTAACAACCTTTTGCGACCCGAGAGCGGGCATGGTGATGTATCTCTTATAGGTATTTGAAATTTTCCCATTGAATGAGTTGACTGCCTTTGGAGCAGCAGCCTTAAACAACCGAAGAACCCCTGCAAAAAGAATTAAAAGAAACCAGTACGAGATTAGCGCCGCTCCATAGTAGTTGGCTCTGTTGTAGTTGTACCGGCGATTAATATACGATGCATAGCCATCCTCGAGAGAGGTCAGATCAATTTCGACGGGAAGATAAAAGTAGCTGGAGGTGTCAAACCCCGGATATGCTGAGGTATTGGTCACCAAGTAGTTAGTGGCATTACTGTCAGCATTATTCAAGTCTTGCATAGTAACGTTGTAGTCCTCGCAGTAGTCAAGAAAGTAGGTGATACCACCATCACCAGGCATCAGCTTTAAACAGTGAGCCATTGAGCCAAGGGCTTGTTGCATGTCTTTGTTGCACCATCCTCCATCTGCACTTTTGCTTGTCAGACCCACGTACTCGATGTCAAAATAAAGCACTGTTTCTTCCAATAAATAGTTGCAAGTATAAAACTCGAGTTCTCCCTTCTCGTAGATCTTTATTCCGGAACTACCAAGGGCCGTGGCAACAAGCACCAAGCTAGCAAATGTTTTGGATATTATCATGTATTTTGAAAGTGTAAAGTTTATCGTGGGATTCCAGTGGAGCAGGGTCTATTGCTTTTATAAGATTGAACGACTTGCAGGGTGACAAATTCTCTTTGTTGACCATCGCCTTGCAGAAACGAGAGGAGCATTATGCATGCATGAAGCTGTGTCAAAGTGCTAAGTATGAATTGAATCAATACTACTCTCGAGGGAACCAATAGGCAATTCAGATTGCCTTCAAGTCACAATTTCAAGTACACTGGACAGCATCATATCACACCATATTTAGATTTCGTTGAACATTGCGATCACCGAGACCAAAAATCAAAGCACTCAAGCCTGCCTCATTTTCAGACCCACTTAGCTTGGTCGATATTTGCGCAAATCAGGGCGTTCACGAACATGGAAACTCATCTTTGCTTCAATTTGCAATGCGCCCAACAAACGCTGTGCATTGGTTGTGCATGTATGGCCGGGTCCTAATACACAATATTTCGCTCGTGTTTACTAAAACGCGTATGACTATTAGAATCATGAGTGGAGCTGCCAGAACTTTGTAGACTTCTTTCAGAAATTTTTCAGCGATAAGGGCCGCTTCTTTCTCTAGGACTTGCCACCTCTGCTGGCGTTTTCAAAACGAATGCGATGCATGCAGGCATGAGCAAATTATTTCCAGAGGTGTAATTTCAAGCCACCAAGTTTCGAGCCCTGTGATAACGAGACCTGAATACTTGGTTTGCTAGCTTATCCTCTGGCTGGAAAAATGGTGCACCGCCGAAAAAACTTCGAGAAGGGTTTGCCCAATGTACTGGAAATCAAAGTTTCTGTTTCTGTCTCTGCCATTCTCCGCAAAGCTAGCGTAACTTAAAAGATACAAAACTATAGCTAGTTTGTTGCAAGTCAAGTACTTGAAAGCATTTCTGATTAAAAAAAAAAATATGCGGTTTGTGAAGCTTACATGCATATCGCTAACTTTGAATAATACGCTCATAAAAATGGGAAAAACGCGTACGCGAAATACTAAGAAAAGTCTGTAATAATGTCGGGCTTAGAAAGTTTTATCAGGTGTCAAAATCAACGTGCAGCGTCACGATGGGATTGAGGAGCAAGCGCAATTTTTTTTTTGGTCACAAGGATCATGACGACGTAAGGCCGAATGATTGACTCATTCTCCAGTTGTCCAGTAGCTACCTAATGTTGGAAAGCGAGACATTTGGACTTCCGCATTGGACCTTTTTTGGGCGTATTTTTTTTTTTTTTTTTTTTTTTTTTTTTTTAAAAATTTTTTTT